CTTAATTTATTTTTATTTATGGCTAAATCTATGGTGAAAATAATATTTTAACCATAGTTAATTCGAGATAATGAACGACTTGACCAATTAGCATTCACTATTACTATGCAGATGAATTGACTGATTTCTCTTATATAGGGACGATTATAACACATCAAGATTTATATTTATATAAATATAAAAAAAAGTATATTTGTATAATATTTTACCCGTATATTACATCAATTATTTCAAATTTCATATGTATAACTAGTTTTTATATTTTATAACCAAATGACAAATATATAGTAATTTTATAACGATCAAGGGTAAATAGTAAGTTTGTTGTGTTTAGTAAAAGAGAAATTTTAAAATATAATTTTTCTAAAGTATTAATTTATAAATAAATAGATTAGAAGTTTCCTATCTTTAAAGGTTAGAATAAACTTTCTCACGGTAATTGAGTGTAAAGTTACTAGTTTTTCTCGTAACATCCGACAGAATGTTTATTTTTATATTGATAATAATAAATATATTATTCTACGAAATTAAATAATAATTAAACATTTTTTTTCAAATTCTTATTCTTATAAATGAGATTCTCAATAAAGTAGTGTAATTAAAAATAAATAATTATCTGTACTAAAAATCATCTAAGCAAATACACGATGGTAGGAAAGGCATAGGGAAAGAAAGGAATAAAGTATCTTTGTTTGGTTTGTCTGGAGGAAAAAGAAACGAATCACTTGTTTGATTATTAAATTACTTTTCTATGGTATTAAAAAACTAGTTTAATTAATTTGGTATTTACACTTTTTTTTAATTTTTATATTTGATCTCTTGTTTTTATTTATTTAAAACCAGACCTTCATAAAATACTTGTTTTTATTTATTTATTTTAATCATTCTAAATATTGTGTGTTTTTATTTGGCTTCTCAATTAAAGAGGTTTAATTAAAATTTTATATTATTTATGGATTCAAAATGAAAAGTTTGCAATGTTTAAATGGATGAAATAAAAGGTTGCATAAATTTTAAAAGGATATAATGAAAAAAAAATTACAAGAAAATTTTTAATAAAAAATGTATTATGAATGGTTAATTTTAAAAAAATAAAATTAAGAAACTAAATAAAAAATATATTTTTTAAAGAAAAACTTGCTCAAATTAAGAAATTTGAAGCAATTTTAAGTTATAATAATTTACTAATAATAAATTAAATTGTCGTTTGAAAATTGTAATTTACCGCAAATTGATGGTTAGTAATATATTAAACTGCTTCTTAAAGCAACAAATTTTTATAATTAAATATTATCATAATGTAACATAAATATAATTAATAATAATATTGATTGTCCACTTCGAGATAACTAAAAAATAATATGACATCATTAATATTAATAAACAAGAGTTGATTGTTTAAGATATAATATATTTATGAAATTATTTTTTTATACTTTATCACAGGTATATTTTAAGATTAAATTGTCTAAAAATAATGTATATATTATACTTTTTATTATTATAATATTTTTAATTTTTACCCACATCTTTCTTTATTCTGTTCTAATCTGTAAAACTAAAGATATCACTTAATTTTTTTTACCTTGTATAAATTTTTAGAATTTTTTAATACCTATTTTGATATTTATAAAATTTATCTCAATTATTTTTTAAAATTTAGAGCTTATTTAATAAAATACCTGTGAATGAGCTACTAACTAATAATAGTGTGAAGGCGTTAGAATTTTTAAATATATGCATAAGGTATAACTGAATCATACCCTTTTATAATAAAATGTGTATTCGGGGTATATTATACGCTTATTAATTATTATTGCCTCGCCTAATCAAGTAACCCTTTGTAGAAGAAACCATAATTATAATTTTCTAATGATGAACTATCATTACAATTTTCTTCTATGTATATATCATTGTAACTATTCAAAGAGCAACAAAACCTAATTAAAACCACCGCTTAAATATAGTAAATGATAATTTTAGTGCTTAAAAGAGAAAAAAAAAAAAGAAAAAAGAAAAACTGGTAGAAGTTCCAAAATAAGAGCTGCATTAATCAAGTTTATGATTCCCTAAATGGAAACACATCACACGTGGTTGCAGGTGTCTACAGATAATAATCTACACTGTATTTTTCCATCAAACAGTAGCAGGAGTCGTTTGTTTATTATTTTAAGAAATATAATCCATTTTGTTAATCATAATCACTTATCACTTAGCTTATATTTAGCCGTTTAAAATGATTTTACTCAGTTTAGATATAATTGTTTGTATTAAAGAATATTTGTGGTTTAAATTTAATAATTACACTTGACACAATCTTGAAATATGAGTAATCAAAAGAAATATACTTGATTGAAAAAATATGTAAAGAATGTCTGGAATAAAAATAAAATTTTAAGTAATTTTGATGGTGTAATAATTTCTTAAACTTGAAATTAAAAAAATGGTATTGAAGATTTGAAATTTGAAGAGAAAGAGAGAGGTTGTGAAGGGCGCCGACGATCCAGGCGGGCAAGACGTGACGCGTTGGGCCCAACGAGGCTCTCTCGTGTTTCGCGGGCCCCATTTCCTGAGCCGCATCAATGCTCATACGGACGCGTAACATGGGAATTGTCCCTCGTTGCAACGCTAATTCATAAACCTTCTCCAAAAACGAAATTGGGTTCTTCTCAAAAATAATTATTATCTCACCTTTTTATTCTTATAAATTCTCTATTTATTAAATAAAAATACTGAAAAAAGGGCAACCTATTTCTTATACAAAACAAACGCTAGGAGTTACGATTAAAAAAAAAATTAAAAATTGTTTAAAGAGTAATTGTTTTAGTTTAGATTTAACGTATAGTGAAGAAGTATTTTGAACTATAGTAAATATTTTGGTTTAATATTAAATATGTCAAATAATTTTTGACTCGGTGGACAAGTACCTGGAGATAAAGGGAGACAAAGATACTACGAGAAAAACAGTTCAATTAAAATTTGGAATGTAATGAATTTGGAGATATCAACAATAAGTCTAAATAGTATTACAATTGAACGTTGCGTTTCGATTAAGTAATTGCCACCTGTCGTTACTAACATTTTATGGTCCAAACGCGTTTTGCGTATGAAAGATGGTATTAAATTATTATTATTATTATTATTATTATTATTATTTAACACTCTATTGTATTATTTTCGTGTCTTTATTTGTTGTTACAAAATAAGACAAACATTAAAAGCATAGGATTGTGAGGAATATTTTTATCACTTAATTTATCTCTTTATTTAATGTTACACTTTTTATAAGAGTTTTTCATGTCAAATACAAATCATTATATTTCCAAATGCGTCGATAAAATCATTTATATAAATAAATAACACTGTTAATAACTTGTACACCGGTTGATTCAAAGAACGGGAGGAGATAAATTTTAACGGTGGAAGAAAGCAGAGAGAACAATTTTTAATGAACAAAAATACTATATTTAGTTCGTAAAAAAGATGAGGGAGAGAGAACAAATATGTTTAATATTGTATATTTAAAATAATAAAAATATTAAATAACATGAACATTGTTTGATTAATCTATTTCTCCTTTTATTTCTTTTAAATAACAAATCAAACATTAAAAAAATAAATAAAAAATCATAGAATCTTCTTTTCTCCCCTTACCTGTCTTCAATTTTTCCCCCCCAACAAAATACTATGTTAATGTTAGGAAAACAATAAATCTTGCGCTAATGTTGCCGCTACGAATTATGTTTCATAAACAGATCACATGCTCACTTAATCATTTGAATTTCTGGCAGTTAAAGATTTTAATGTGATGGGCTCGTTGTTATAGTAAGTCAATTAATTTGTAAGAAAAATATTTTGTAAAATTTAGTATTCTTATAAAACAAAATACAGGTTCCAGAGTTGGCCCATTTTAGTTCGATTACTTTATGTGATTGTTTAATGATTTAATTTAGTTATTAGTTTCTAATGATAAATTTCACGTTATCAATGACCTTATAATTATGTAATATTACTTTATAATTTAATGATATACTTAACCTATCATTAAATTACTTATCTTCCATGGGTCCAGTTACTCTCCTTTCTGAAACAAATTTTCAAGTTAATTGAAGACCATGAAAAATTAACTACTTTATTAATTAGAATGAAAATAGATATATTTATAAATATTCATAAAAAGGGAAATCGGTGGAATCTAATACTTGGAAAGGGCCATAAATTAGAAAGGCAAAAGGGCACTTCCTGAGTTATCGTCATCACGAGAATGTGTAATATGGACAAAAAGTCCAAGAGGTGTGAAATAATTTTATGTACAGAATAATATTCACAAAGTATTTTTATTTAGTTTTACATCAAATTAATTTAATAATAAAATGCATTATTATTTTTCTTACTTTTTATAAACAATGTTACCGGCTGTTCATTTACTGCCTCAGGTGTGTGATTTGACAATGGGCACCGACAGAGACAACAACTTTCGCAGGTTATATCATAAGCAAAAAATTCGATGCTTAAATTAAATTAAATTTCTTAAATTTAAGCTGCTTCCAAATTCGACGATCATGCCGCTAACGGCTTTTCTAATTATAATTTTCTGTAGAAATGATGTGTCAAAAAACTGGAAGTATACACACCAACCACGTATAACAATGATCAGAAAAACACATTAAAGAATTAAAAGTAATTTATTATTTAAAAATCAATATATTTTCCTTTTAAAAAATGTAATTAATGCATATTTGGCGCACTCCTCGTCTCTCTCCGCGTCTACCACTTTATTCAAAGGGTGAGCGAGTGAGTGCCAACTAAGTTTAAAAATTATTAATTGGTGTTGATAAAGGAACTATAAAACCTTCCGCAGTGTAAATAGTCTTCCATTTTTGTCGAGAAAAATAATGAAAAAAATGCAACACCACGAAATAAAATCCGAAATATAATTAAATTTTTAGAAAAAAAGGTGAGAAAGGAGAATCTGTTGGGCTTTGAGCTGTGATATAGCTGTCCTTTTGATGAATTATTTCATGCCCACTCTCTCTCTCTCTTCACACTCATATACGCTCTCACACAGTTCCAAAATCCCTAAAAACAAAACCCCCTTCTCTCTCTCTCTCTCTCTCTCTTTCGGGAAGCCCCCAACACCGAAATCCATTTCTTCATAGCTGCATTTTATTCAGATCTCAAGGTGGAAACTTTCCCAAAACCCCACTTGAAATCTTGATATTAGGGGAAGAGAGGAGTGAGTGTACAACTGAAGAACAGCATTTGCCACTGTGATTTGCTGCATCAAATGCCTCATGTGAGATGAGGAAGAAAGGCTATTCCTATTCCAACCTTCTTCTCCTCATTGCTTTGTTCATAGCCACACTCTCTCTCAGTGCCTCATCGCTTTCAATCTCACACAATGGAGCCCTCACAGACGCAGAAGCCTCGTACATCAAACAAAGACAACTTCTCTACTACAAGGACGAGTTCGGCGACAGAGGAGAGGAAGTAACCGTAGACCCTTCTCTCGTTTTCGAGAACAACCGCATCAGAAACGCTTACATAGCCTTGCAAGCGTGGAAGCAAGCCATTCTATCCGATCCCAAGAACCTCACCGGAGACTGGGTCGGTCCCAATGTCTGTAATTACACCGGCGTTTTCTGCGCTCCTGCGCCGGACAACCGCAAGATCCGCACCGTCGCCGGCATTGACCTCAACCACGGCGACATTGCCGGATACCTTCCGGAAGAACTCGGTCTGCTCGTCGATTTAGCGCTCTTCCACATCAACACCAACCGCTTTTGCGGCACAGTGCCTCACAAGTTTGACAAGCTCAAAATCCTATTTGAATTAGATCTCAGCAATAACCGCTTCGCCGGGAAGTTCCCCAACGTGGTGCTGCACTTGCCGAAACTCAAGTTTCTAGATCTGAGGTTTAACGAATTCGAAGGAACGGTGCCTAAAGAGCTCTTCGATAAAGACTTCGACGCGATCTTCATCAACGACAACCGCTTCGTCTTCGACTTGCCGGACAATTTTGGGAACTCGCCGGTGTCCGTGATTGTGCTGGCGAACAACCGTTTCCACGGGTGCGTGCCGGCGGGAATAGGCAACATGAAGAGGCTGAATGAGATTATTCTGATGAACAATAATTTCCGGTCATGTTTGCCGGCGGAAGTGGGGTTGTTGAAGAACTTGACAGTGTTCGACGTGAGCTTCAACCAGTTGTTGGGGCCATTGCCGGAGGCTATTGGAGGTGCGGTGAGTTTGGAGCAACTGAATGTGGCTCACAATATGCTCTCTGGGAAGATTCCTGAGAGCATTTGTAAGCTTCCAAATTTGCAGAACTTTACTTATTCTTATAACTTCTTCACCGGCGAGCCGCCCAAGTGTCTCGCCTTGCCGGCTTTTGATGACCGGAGAAACTGCTTGCCGGCGAGACCGTTCCAGCGTTCGGCTGCGCAATGTAAGCGGTTTTTGTCTCACCCTGTGGATTGCAACTCATTTAAGTGTAAGCCTTTTGTTCCTTCCTTGCCTCCTCCTCCACCACCGTCACCTGTTTATATTCCACATTCTCCCCCACCACCAGTTTACTCTCCGCCACCGCCTCCGCCTCCGCCAGTATACTCTCCACCACCGCCTCCGCCAGTGTATTCACCGCCACCTCCACCACCTGTGTACTCTCCACCGCCACCACCTCCTCCTCCACCACCGGTTTATTCTCCACCGCCGCCACCGCCACCACCTCCACCACCGGTTTATTCTCCACCGCCGCCGCCGCCTTCACCTCCCCCTCCGCCACCGCCGGTATATTCTCCACCACCACCACCGCCTTCTCCTCCCCCACCGTCACCACCACCACCTTCGCCGCCTCCTCCCGTGTCATCACCGCCTCCGCCACCATCGCCTACTCCATCGCCACCATATTGTGTAAGGTCTCCACCACCTCCGCCACCAAGTCCACCACCGCCGTCACCTCCACCAGCTCCGGTTTTCTCCCCACCGCCACCTGTGCCCTACTATTATAGCTCACCTCCGCCACCGCCGCCGCACTCGCCGCCTCCGCCACCACCTCACTCACCCCCGCCACCGGTTTATCCCTATCTATCACCGCCGCCACCTCCTCCAGTTCACTCTCCACCTCCACCAGTCCATTCACCACCACCACCTTGTATAGAATCACCTCCGCCACCACCTCCTTGTATAGAACCACCACCTCCACCACCATCCCCACCACCCTGTGAAGAGCATTCACCACCACCACCATCACCACATCCTGCTCCTTACCTACCACCACCATCCCCATCACCTCCACCACCCCCTCTTCTATATAGTTCACCACCACCTCCACCTCCCACTCCTGTTTATTACTACAATTCACCGCCGCCGCCGCCACCTGCGCCTGTATATGAAGGGCCTTTGCCACCTGTAATCGGAGTGTCATATGCATCTCCTCCTCCACCACCCTTTTATTGATTCTTTTGAGAACTTTTCTCCTCTAACCCCTTAGCAATCAAATCAAAAACATTCCAAGTTCACACTTTTATTATTGATATTGTTATTGCTGCCCATTTCTTCTTCCTGTGCCATGTCAAGTATGCAAATGCGACTCTCGTCGCATGTTTAGGGGCAGAGAGAAACAACAAGGGTTTGTCTAAGGCTGCATGTTTTCAATAGAGAAAAGGTTACAGTGGATTCAGGTAAGAGGAGAAAGTCTCTCCATATTGATTTGAATTGTTATGGATATTCGAGTTGTGAAATAAAAATGGCAGAGAAAGAGTAGGTTGCAGAGAAAAATGTGTATGTATAGGGATCAATTTGGAGACCATAGTTTCAGGGTTGCAAAGACAGTGGCACTTCTGCTGCTGCTGCATGTTTGTGGAGTTTATTGTTATTGTCTCTCTTATATCATACTTTTTTTACTTTTTTTAATTTTGTTTCTTTTGCTTTGCAATTTATAGTATAATTTATGAACATTTTACATGTATTGATTTTCTGAATTGAGGTCATTCCTTTCTCTTCTCAGTGTCTCAAAATATTTCTCTGCTATGGGAATGTTGTGTGTGCTTTTGCTTCACTTACCTGCATTTGTATTGTTAATGAGACTAGCATACTTTCTCATATGACCAGTATGTGTTTGTTTGCACCTTTTGGAGCAATACGCCTTAATATGGTTTTAGCAAAATTTCATTCTATCCATTATCTTTGCAAAAAGTAAAAGAGAAACATTTTCTATGTAAATTCGTTTACAACATTACGAAATGAATAAGATGTTATGAAATTTGTTTAGCCTAAGAATTAATTGCAGTTGGGCCTGTAATTATGGTGGTGTTATCAAAGATTATGCTTGCGGTTTGAAATGGTCCTCAATCTTGGATCGAGGTTTTGTGACTGCAGGTCCACATTTCAGGTCTCCATGGTGGGACCTGAATAGCCATCCCAAGAACCACATTTCATTTATTTAATTTGATGAACCCTTCTTTTTCACTTGATTAGCGGTATCGTTTAAGATTACACCCCATGTGCACCTTTCGTCACAACTCTCATATTTGAATTCAAATCTGTTTACTTTATGCACACTATTTCCCCATTGGATTTGATTGTGGACATAAATCCTGTTAAGCTTGTGAAAGCTCATTCCGGTTTTAAGTTTCCTTCTCATCATCCCATCTTTAATAAAACTCAACCTTGCTTTTGTCATAAATAACTATACGTTGCTTTTACACGGTCATAATTTATCCTCAAATTAAGATTTAAATCACATTACTTTAAATTTGTTTTCAAATGAAATTAATTTTACAAAATCAAAATCCTAAATTAGAGTTTGTCATTTGGAAGTTGGAACATACACTTTATATCTATTCTAATAGCTTTTGTCTTTTACGACCAAAGAAAAAAAAATCTTTTGTCTTTTGCTTTCTGTTGGTTGTTCCTCTTGTGTGTTACCCTTTTCATCCTCCGCTTCCCTCCCTCGGGTGTTGTCCACGAAATTAGTCTCACAATAAAAGTAAAGCCAAGATGAAAGTGAAACTTTTGTTTTGAACGGGGAAGAAAGTGAAACTAAATCCAAATCAAATGAAGTTACTATTTCATGCTTATCTATTTGAATCCCAATTTTGTAAATTATTCACAAATTGAGATAACTTCTCTAGCCTAAGTAAGTTTAGGATATTACTCATTCTTCAAAAGGGACCTTGGAATTGCAAGGAACACTTTGTTCTATATAATATTACTCAGAACCACGTGGAGTGGGATCAATGTTTTTTCTCATCAAGGGCCCTCAGTTTTCATGGCAACCTCTTTACAAAGAAAGTTTCCACTTCTTTCTATGGTACATTGTAGTTCATTTTCTTTTTCCTTTTTTTTTCTTTTTTTTCTTGGAAGAGACACGGAGTTTAATAGAAGACAGCGACTTTTCCTTCATATTAGGGTAAAAAGGAAAGTGGCATCTAATGAATTTGTTTGCACTTAAAAGAAAATTGTACATTGCGGTTGCTATTTGCGCTTTAAAATGTACTTGCTTTAACGTGTTTGCGAGGGGATTTTATGCACTTTTTTTCATACACATAAGTACCCACTTATTGGAACAGAAAAAAAATAGCTGGATTCATTAAACTAATTTGAACTTCTATACGATACTGAATTTTTTATACACCATTTAATTTAAAATGCATGACAAGAATTTCCCTTTTTAAAATTTCTAGATGGAGAAGGCAACTTTGTAGCTTGAGTCACTTTCTCAACAATGGAAACCATGGCAAGTGAGAAGAAAGTTCTATATACCTTGGTGGGTTTGGCCTTTCAATGAACTCTCCATACCCTTTATGTTAGGGGAAGTAAGGAAGTGGAAAGAAGTAAAAGCATGCAACTTCCACTTGTCCTAGCTACCCTTGGCTAAAAGGAAAATTGCAAAACAAGCAGGGCATATCCCACCACCAAAGGGATAGTGACGTAAATGATAGGGGCCCTCCACATATAAATTCACATGGCCTGCAAAGGCTTTTCACATCCAACATGTAATGAAAAATATTAATGTTAGAAGTTGGTTGACTTGTTCTATGCCTCAACCCGGGACATTACTATTCATTTAATTAGGCTTCTAGGACAGCCTGTGATTAGGTCAAGCATATTTAATGGCATTTCATAAAGTGACTCATGATATTGACCCCATTGTCACATTAAAAAGAACAGACGAGTCTCTGTTTCAAGCAAGAAAAAGAAAAATGCTCCTAAGAATTTATTTTAAAAATATACAGGAATTTTGTTTTTCCAAATCAACTGAGATTTACCACTACCCTTTTACAGATACCCACTATATAAAAATCTTTAATAACATTAAGATCCAAATTTTCTGTTGTTCCTATTGTGATCTGATTAGCTAGAGAAGACACTAGATATGGCATATTGCAATCAAGCTTAGTTTAGTACTAGTATTTTTTTCAGTGTTCCCAATAAAGGAACACTATTTAATTATTTTTTCCACAAAGAAAAGCAAAATGAGGGGTAATCAAAGAGAGAGTTAACTCTTTTAATTCTGTAGGTAATTCATTAATTGATGAGGGGCAAGAGGGTGGGCAGTGCCAACTAATTCATATATGCATACACCTAATCATAGGCATTATTCATGGGTGCACAAAATGTAAAGGCAATGCTGACAGGTAGGGGTTTGTATAGTGTAATAATAGTTTAAGTAAGTACCTGTGGCATTTTTGAGCAACCTATTTTTTTCAGTTTCCATTTTCCGCTAATCCAATAATTGAGAAGTGCACTCACATAAATGAAAATGGAAAAACTGACACTGTAAAAGATATAACAGCAACTTAGATGAAATAGAAAAAGGACAATTTAAATTTCCCTCAAGAGGTGTAGACATTTTTGCCGCAATTGATGGTCAATCTGAAAGTCACAATTCAGTTACCTCAGTTCCTACTTGCTATTCTTTTCGTTAGGCCCCGCAAATATTCAAATAATAATAAAGAAAAGGGTGTTGAGAAAAATAAAACCTTGGAAAATGATGTTAGCACCCATTTTTGTTTGGATTTTGATGTATAAAGCATAAGAATATGACCCATTAAAATTTCAACATTGAGAGTGTTTGCTCGTGATTTGCGTATTTGGTTTATAATTCTATATTACATTGACAAGCTCGGGTCATTTATTATGTAATTCTATTTACATAATTTGGATTGAAGAAGATTATAAATATGGTATTTGAAATTAAATAGTTCCTTCTAACATTAGATTAGGACAATTTCATGTTTTATTCATAACATTCGGAGTGTTTTTGTATAAAAATTATTATTAACTTGTGAATAAAACTATTTTTTGAGAATTTTTTGTAACATATAATTATTTAACTTTTAGATTAACTTTAAAGCCCTGCATACGCTTGTATGTTTAAAAGTACATACTTTGCGTTTCTCTCATGATATCAAAAGCACTACAAATACTAATAATTTCATTAGAACAAGTGAAGAAAAAAGGTCATATGCAGCACTCGTGATAATAATCTGCATAAACAAGTCACCGGCAAGATTCGCGTGATTTCCTATTTCATTGTTTTCTCTTGTTTACACTTTACACACATTTTCTTTCACTGCAATATTTTATCCAAATCAAAAGTCTCTAATATTAAATGTATTTTGATAAATCTAATGTATTTCAGGTGAAAAGGACTATATATGCAAACTAGAGTGTTAATAAGTATTTAACAATTTTGTTAATCTCACATCTTATAATTGAGTTTAAATATTCAAAAATATGAAATTTTATTGAACAAACAAAACATTTATTGCATTCAAGATATAAAAGTGTAATAAATAATTTTTTAATAAAATATTATTATTAATTGTTTAAACTCAACCCTATGGATTAAAGTTATATTTTTCAATATTGGAAAGGAAAATTGTGTCCCATACTGAATCTAGAAAGTTGTAAATTGAAAGATTTGGATTTTCAAAGAGAGAGTTTATCATGTCATTAAGTCAATCCTTAATATCATTGCTTATGAGTTATGGCTAATCTATCTTTATCAAAGGCCCAATAATTTAAGGTCTCTATAGATGGTTCGTTCTAAGGCCCTTCAATTTTGGTCAATGCCCAGCAATTTGTGTGGTTATAGACTTAAGATTCCATTATCATTGTTTAAAGTTTTCAGGCTTTTCCTTTGATCATACAATTGTACTTTATAGGCTTCAAACCATTGGATGAACCTTGGAAGCCATTTAGTGGAACTCTGTGTTTTCGCCACTAAAGAAGATTAAAGTCAAGCCCATAATTTTTTTTTTTTCCAATCAAGCAATTAAGGCATAACCATGCAACAAAAGTTGGCTTGTAAAATTGTTACTATCACTATGAGATCTTTTAAAATGATATGTAAAATTATCTGTTGACCTTTGAAAAAAAAATCTATTTGCCTGTCTATTTATAGATTTAAGATAATATTAATTATTATTTTTTAATCACATCTTTATTTTTATTTAATTTTTAAATACTTTACATGTTTATTGTAATGAGAGAAATAATAGTAAATGTCATTAAATAGTTAAAAATGATTTTAATATAGTCAAAATATTAACCTTTTTTTTAATACATGTGTTGTTATATTATGAATAAACAAAGAAAATTTGAGGTAATATTGTATTTGATTATAAATATTGTTCTTAATTTTTACTTTTCATGATGAACATTAGGAGACTAAGGATACATACAAACAGATACCTTGATTCTTATCAAGGACTAATTTATTTTCACACTGGGAACCATTAGTATACGACTTTAAAATATTGACATATCTCTGATAATCCAAAGTGACTAAAAAATCTACTCTTTCAAAATTTTCTCTATCAATTTTCAGCATAAGAAAGTGTTCATAACTTCTGAGAGTTTCATAGGCCCAATACGAAAAAAAAAAGTTGGTGATACATTGTGAGTTTCTTAGTTGGGCCTCTATTGTTGGGCTGTTTTGTTAGTGCTTTCGGTTTTTCATTCTGGATCAAAACATTGGTTAAAATATATTCTGGATCAAAACAGAACAAATCTGAAGAAAAAACACTTCAAAAAATAATTTTGCCCACGACCAAAAAATATTTTAAGAAATATAGTTTGCTAACATTCCCATTTTAGAAAACAAATACGAGTATAATAACTTTCTAGCACGGCTACAGATATTAAGATATCATACATTATTTAAAAATATTATTTAGAATATTTTTTAATTATTTTCATTTAAGATAACTTTTAATGTTAAATTAAGCTTAATTTATTTATAATAGTGTATTAAAATTTATCTACTCTTAATGTTAAGCCATATCCTAAGAGCTTCCCATTCTAATTACAATCTCAAGTGTTAGATCTAAGTCCACTTTTAATAATAAGCACTTAACATTATTTACACCATTTAATAATGTTATATAAACTATAATTATACTGATATTTTGTATAAAAAAATAATCAAATGGAACATATATTTTGTAGGTTACTTATATAATCTTTCAAAAAACAGAAGGTCTTTAACCTGTTGAAATTTGGAAACTTGAATAACGTCATGGTGAATTTGGTCACACCTGTTTGTCATTTTCCCTCTCCTTTTTCTTCTTTTGGTAGAAATTAACAAGAAACGTTTTCTGCTTTTAATTTTAATTATAATTTATGTCAAAGTTTTATGATTTATCCAAGACATGTGGGGCATCCTTCATTCGGCGTGACAGGTAAATTGTGTGTTAGAGTGAGACACAAAATCCTTTTCATTCTGTTAAGAGATCATCGACCTTAGACTTTGGGAACCACATGATGACCCTTAGAAACATGTTTCTTAGCTAATGAATGACATGACATTGTGAAACTTAGATATATAATTTTATTATAAGGTGAGAAACTAAGAAATTTTATATGACTTTATGCGTAAAGGTTAATCGAAGTTAAATGATTCGTATACATAACAATCGTGTCAGAAAATTGCGAATGAATTCTCCAAATGTTAAGTGCATGAGAAGTTGCTTGTAAGTAATTCTCAAATACAAGTTCTCAGTAATGTATAATAATTTATTAATTTGTGTAAATAACTTATAAAATAAAACAAGAAAAGCAAAGAAATATGTCATATTGCTAAACACTTTAGCATTATAATTTTGTTTGACAAAAAATAAATTATTGATATGAATATTCAAAATCTATATCAATATAATATATCATATTAACATATAATTTCCTTAGTACAAAATATTAACTGACACATCAAATGTTATACTGCGTTATATCATTAGCATAAATTCATAATTTTATAGTAACAACTTAGTTTTTATTAAATAATTTTTCTTTAACAAAGAAAATTCTAGTGTATAAATTTCTGTTAATTAATAAATGATAATTTTTTCTGTAGTATTGGGAGATGGAAATGTTCTACTTGGAGCATTTCTGAACATTATTGATAGCATAGGAAACAACGTTAATTAGCGTCTAAGGTTTAAAAAGGAACACAAATTTTATTTTAAGCAAAAAGCTCCAAAATAAGAATTTTGTTGGGTAGTGCACATTAAACAATATTTCTTTCAACTTTCATGTTTCATTATTTAAGATTTAGTGCATATTTCGAAATTAATTGAAATTATGTTATGTTATATTTCAACATAAAAGTTATAATTTATAATAATTAAAATAAATTTACATATATTACTGAGCACATTGATCAAGTGAATAAATTGTTCTCTTTTTAATACAATTATATTAAATATTTAGAGATAGACTTTCACTGCTCATAATAATTCTACTTGTAATTAAAAAAAACGTATGAATAAATTTGACAGTAATTTAAAGACACATTATTTAACTCTTTTATGATGAATAAATGTATAAAGTGAGTTAATTTAAAATAATAATGAATAAAACTTTATTTGATCATTTTATATTCCTTTGTGGTCTTTATAAGTGATGGAAGTAGTGAACCAGACAAACACGTTATTGTTATCTGCTTCACCCTTTCTGAAAAATAAAGTCCTTTTTACTTGTCTTATTATTTGGGTTTAAGTCACGTTCGGATTATTCTGTAACTATGCGTGTGATGGACAATAATCAAAGTGAATTTTAATTATTCAGTTGAAATTATTATGCATATGCTATGAGCATTTAGATTAGGTACTTTTTTTTATTTTTATATGTATAAATGTCAAATTCCTCACAGAATCCTTATCTCTAATTGCATTTTCAGTTATTCTATGGTCAGAATCGGAGCATTGAGAAGAAGCATACATTCCCTTTTGCCACTATTGATGTTTATGTGTGCGTGAGATACCGAAAGACAGTGTTCACTTGCAGAATTGCAGAAAAATGGACCACTCTTTATTTCCCTTTTAGAACATCAAACAATAATGGATGGACAACGTGCTTTCAGTGCCCAAATCCACTAGTTTAAAAGAACCTTTTCTTCCCAACATTGGACCTCCCTAATTTACGTACAACACTCAAATTATCAAGGGATTCAAACCAATTTGTATTTGATATTATCATGCCAAACAAAAACAAAATTCAGTACAAAGAAATAAAATTAAGAGTATGGATCAGTGCAAAATTATTTAAGTCTCTATATTATGTTTTTGTTTTCTTATTTTACAAGTATTTTATAAATAAAATCAACTTTAAATTAAAAAAAAAATAGATTTTGACTTTTTTACTTTACATGTCTTTTAATGAACTATCTGACTCATTTGAACTAACCTATCACGGATGATAAACTTGAATAAACCTAGCTAAAATAGTCAAAATTCAATTTGAGTTTGCATAAGTGGTGTCCAAATTAACAAGGCCCTTTAAAAAAGCTTTACAAAGCTCAAATTTATTTTAAATTTAATTAGATTGAGTACTAAGAATATCTAAATTTACTCTAAACTCAAATTTTAAAGTTCAATTCTTACATTTTATCTTGTGAATTTAAACAAACTTATTTTTATCGACTTTACATGTATCTTTGAAAAATTAAAATTTAATTAATTAAAAATACACTTTATTAAAAAATATATATGATTTCTGATTTAGATCTTCACAAATTAAACTTTATTGTTTACATTCAATATATATTCTTTCCACCCTTGTAAAGAGAAAAGAGTAAAAGTGATTCGTTTTAAAAAAAAGCCGAAAATATATAACTTTCATGGTAAATTATAATTTATTACATATAAGAACTTGAAAATCATGAAGTTGAGAAGTCAAAATGGGAAAAATAAAACTCAACAACCTCTTGCAACGTCAAAAGTCATGTTGCAATTAATGTGGCTACATGCACGCAACAAGAAACAATCATAGAGAGTCCCATTATCAATCAATGTTATTATACCAAACACATAATAATGTCAATATCTAGCATGAAATCAATCATTCAATTCAGCGTGAAACAAACACTATAATCTATCTTCACACTCATTTAACGCCTGGATGCTACTCAATGATTACTATGATTATGATCCTTATACCACCAACCCTCCTAGCAGCATGCCAACTTGCTTTTGTTCATTTGTCTTATAATTAAAAACACCCATTAATTAATTTACATTTAAACACATTATCGCTTTCTAAATTTTTGGAAAAGTGTACAATAAAAAAGTATTATTTATTAAACACAGATACGTAGAAGAAAAGTACGTGCTTATGCTTGTAAGAAACACAAATATCTGTCCCATTTGGGGTTATGTAAGCACAAATAAAATATATGTATAAAACAAGATAAAACTATTGTGATTAAATAATAAAAAATATGTATAAGTGAGGTAAAAAATGTTGAAGTGGAGGAATAAAATAATTGTGATGGGAAGAATAGTTACCTCGAAAGGAACAACAATTGGAAGGGAAAAGAAAGTGCACGAATTAGCTTAAGCTTACGGCGGGAGAAAAGAAGCAAAAAGCTAAGAAAGAAAGCAAAGAAAAACCACCGAAAAGCAACCTTTTACCTATGTGTCGATGTCTCTAAGTGTCTTTGATCTTATTCATCATTTTTAACACACCCAACAAACACATGCACCACCAATTCTCTCTCTGTGTTTTGTTGTCTCTCTCAATGGGGGAGAGAGAGAGAGATTGTAAAGCCTGTCCATGAACGATTCAGTGTGTTATTGATGACCCTTCTTCTTCAATTCTCTTCTCCAATATGCTTTTGATCTTCAGGTATTGCTCATCACATTCCTTGATTTGTTTCATTTTTCTTTGTTTCCATCAACTCCATTTGCACCTCACAATTTATTTCAAATAGCAATAAACTCTTATCCCATTACATGAAGTGGGATATATGCACCTTACAATTGATTAACGATTTCATTATTTTTTTTTCATGTAATCTATGAACTCTTGCATTTGTTGCTTTGATCATGAAATATGAATTCTCAGTAGTTTCATGCTTAGCATTCTACTCTGTCAATGCTTTCATAGACAAGCTTATCTGTTTTTGTTTTATCTTTCATTAATCTGTGGCCAGTATTTCTGTTGTTGAATGTGTTCAGAATTGGAACCATTTTTCATCATTCTGTGAAATATTTTTTTCTATAAACTATTATAGTTTGTAACAAATACAGAACAGCTAATATATATATATATATAACACGCATAAGTCCGAACGATGTCTTGTTTGCCGAGAAAATCACAAAGGGGAAATAAACCAAAATTTGGACGCTTACTTCGAGGTAAAGGAAAAAAATCTCTCAATTTGTTTTTTGGAAAATATCTCAGCACAAAAGATTTTTTTTCCATATTCAAAATTTAATTTCATTACTCATCCTACTTGCGTTTCTTTATCCTTTTAAATTTCAAAATTGATAACTGGTATTAATTGAATTATTTATAGTTTAAGAATCTTAACAGGCTTCTTGATGAATTAGTCATTAAATTGCTAACTTATTAATCAAATTACTACTAAAATGGTTAACAGTTGTTAACGGATATTATTTATTTGTATAAAGTCACTTTACCCTTTCTCTCTCCTTCCCCCTCTTTTTTTTTTTTTGCTCTCAAAGACAACCCTCAAACACTACTAAGGAAAAACACGATAGTGATAACAAATGACGTGAAAAAGTTGTTTCACTTTTTTCCAACAAATAAAACTTAAAAAAGTAAAGAAAAAAAAATCATGATAAACTGTAGCTAGTAAATCTTCCATGATGAAAAGCCTTCTTAATGGAATATAATTTTGGTAATATGAATGTAAATCCACCAAAAAAACTTGCTTTTCTATAAAAGCATTTTATATTATTAAACATAAAAATATACCATATAATAATACTAATAACAAAAGGCAGTGGGCACAAATATGTGTGAATTTTTTTCGAAAGAATCTTTGGAAAAAAAAATTCTTGTCGAAATTCACAAAAACAATGCTTTCGTGAAACATACCATATTCCACTTGAAGAAGCTGGAGGCTTTGAATTCAATGCACACTTCGGGTAAGACTTTAATGAACGAAGGAATGTTCTATTGAATATTTTTTCGGGATTAGATTAATTTTTTGCTAAGTGAATTATATTCAATGAAGTCATTGAAGGAGGAGAAGAGAAACATAGACAAATATGATGGAATTTTACTCCTAGGCCAAAGAAAAGGGAATTTTAATAATATGGTAGGCATACCAATAAATTTGGGGTTTAGTGTTTTAGTCTATGATGATAGGTAAGATAATGCATGGCCAAAAATATAAATCTCAGATGGGTAGGACCAAGTGAAAATAACTATATTATTCTATCAATTACGTGAAGATAAAGTGACCAAGAAAGCTAATTGTTGTTCTTTTAAATATTTTGTTTGATTCGAGGCATAGATGAAAGGTGATAAATTTTCCATGACAATGGCGAGTCTTTTCATGCATTCTACAGTGCAGGGGAGAAGAATAGAAGATCTTGATTAGTGGGGTGGAGCCCATTTCTTCAATCTGTGATCCATTCATGCACTGTGAAGTAGCAATATTGCTTTGTTGAAGAAAAGATGGAGAGTGGTGAAGGCAATAGTAGTAACCAGAGGTGTGCACTGTTCAAGGATTCTTCATGGTACAGTCAATTCACAAATGCATCCAATCCATGGATGGCAAGATATGTGTATGGTTTGATTTTCTTAGTTGCCAATCTCTTGGCTTGGGCTGCTCGTGATGAACTTTCTAGCATTACTGCTTTAACACAACTTAAGGGTAAGATTGCTTAAATCCTTGAAGTGAATTAACTTTTATTTCCCATTACCATGACATTAAGTTTTATGCTATTTTCACATTTGACTATGCCATTTGTATTCTATGATAGAAATTTTTTTCTTCTTGACACGTTGGCACATGTTATCAACATACTCTTTTTAGCATATTTTTTATTAGTTAAGATTTATGTGAAACTAATTAAATTATATAACACGAGTCTCACTTTTAATTTAACAGTTTCACACTTTCACTAGAGGTTTAAAGTGTCTTGCTATAGCATAATATATTCTTTTAATGCCTACAGCAAAGTCTAACATAGATTGCACCCACAGGGTTAAAAGGATGCAAGGTTGGCAAAGACTGTTTGGGTGCAGATGGTGTTTTGCGTGTGAGCATGGGTTGTTTTGTATCCTTTTCCCATTTCAATTATACATTATGCATCAAATCCGGTTTATAAAGCCCTTGTTGTACAATAAGGTATGTAGAAATGAAATAAAACTAAGCATTATACTAAACACTAATTAATTATTGATCTATAATATTTATAATACCATGTAGATTGAACCTTAATTCTTGATCAGTTATTTTATATGATAATGTTTTGGTCAACTGCTGGCACTTCTAAATTGAACGAAGGAAGAGATACATGGCATTCTGGATGGTGGTTGGTCAAGATTATTCTTTGGGTATTCGTCACAATTTTCCCATTTTTACTCCCTTCTGAGTTGATTGAGCTATATGGTTGGTAAACCTTCCAAGTATTATGCATCCTCTTTGATATAAATAAGGGTTTGTGTAAGTTACCTCATGGGATAAATAACTCCATCTTAGGTAAACTAATGAAGTTAAGACGTTGTATTAAAATTGTATGAATTTTATAGACAGCCTCATTAGTCCATCATGGATAGAGTTATGTCTTCCATGGGGTGACTTAGACAAATCCTATAAATAGTGTTGCTTGTACTACCTTTGAAAATTGTTCCTCTTACATAATGTTTTTTTTGGGGGCAGGGGAGATTGCACATTTTGGTGCCGGGTATACTTTTTACCCCTACCAAATTATTTCACTATATCTTGTTTTAGACTTACATGTGATTGTTTTTAACTGTCTGTATCTTTTTCAGGGTTTTCCTCCTAATTCAACTAATAAGCATAATCAGCTTCATTACATGGCTGAATGATTGTTTCAGCTCTGAAAAATATGCAGAAAGATGGTACGTTTTTCTATGCTACAAAGCTAATTGAAACACTAGCTTTTCTGAGTATGAAAAATTATGTATGTATGTCTGTGTGTTTATGTTTGTTTAATTGAATTAATTATACATTTTACAATATTAAATAATTTTTAATTTATTATTAAATTTCAATTTAACAATACGTGTACAATGCACAAAATGCTTTCATGATATGTTTACATTAATTTTCAATTTCTGGGCAGCCAAATACAGGTGATGTTATTTGCAACTATTTCATACTTTATATGTTTGGTGGGGATCATTTTGATGTACATTTGGTATGCGCCAAAGCCATCTTGCCTCCTCAACATTTTCTTCATCACTTGGACCCTGGTACTTCTCCAACTCATGACAAGTATATCGCTACACCCAAAAGTACGCTCTATTTGCAGGTCCCTTTTGCTTGCTCAGATCACATGATCTTCCATTAATATAATAACTTTATGAGGAGTTTCATTCTATTAATAGGTAAATGCTGGCATTCTAAGTCCAGGGTTGATGGGCCTTTATGTTGTCTTCCTTTGTTGGTGTGCAATTAGAAGGTAGGGATTCCAATCTTTGCTTTACTTTTGGCTTGTGTTGATATAGCTGGCCAAAGCATGTGGCTTCTAATATGTAGACCTTTTTATTTGGCAAATGCTAAGAGTGGAATCAAAAATGAGTTTTTTAATTGAAAGTATGAGAATCCACTCCTTACATGATTCTTAATGCACTCTGAACATGAATTTTAATAAAAAAAATGATTTATTAAGTTTTAGTATCTTTAGAATACTTCTTAACAAGAACCCTTTTTATTTTTGTGAGTCCTCTTAATTTATTGTCTTCATTTTAATTTTGAATTTGAGCTTTAAAACATATTTGTGCATGCAGTGAACCTGCAGGAGCTGACTGCGTCAGGGAGTCAGAATCTGCAAACAAAACAGACTGGCAAAGCATCATTGTAATATTTACTATTTCATGTTCAAATGAAGTATGAACTTAAATGTTGGACTTGCTCTTTACTCTTTAATCATGATAACTGTGAATCAAGAAATATTTATGTCGATTATGTATTTCAGTATCTTGTTGCTTACTTGATGATATTTTTCTCTGCTTGCTTTGTATAATATGCAAAATCGTGAGTCTCTGGTCCAGTTATATATGCTCATCACCCTTGAATATATGATTTGTTTTTGGATTTGCATCTTCTTCTTATGTTAATAACTAATGCGATAATGTCACATTATTAAAATGGCTTTTATATTGTATCTTTTTCTCTTAACATGATAAAATCTAACAATAGAAAGTCCAATTTCATTTCTTTTTTGGCTTTGTTGTAATTTATACTTTTTTCTTCTAAAGGGTTGGTAATTTTATTTTCTGAACCATTAAAATGCATTACCTCGCATTACTTCTTTATTGTTGGCCAACATATGACGATGACTATTGGCAGAGTTTCGTTGTTGCGATACTAGCAATCGTTGTGGCAACATTTTCTACAGGCATAGATTCCAAATGCTTTCAGGTTTGTTACAGAATCTATATTGAATTTTGATATCAAGTTCTCCAATGCATATATATATCTGACCAATCCTTACAGTTCAGGAAGAGTGATGCGCCAGGAGAAGATGATGTTCCATATGGTTATGGCTTCTTCCATTTTGTCTTTGCCACAGGAGCAATGTATTTTGCAATGCTATTGATTGGATGGAATAGTCACCATTCAATGAGAAAGTATGATCCTACCCTACATGTAATAGGCTCATAACATATTTTGTGCATCTTACTTGGATTTCTTGTTTTGCTTTGTCACCCAAAAGAAAAATAAAGGAAATGCATTGCATTTGTAATTATTAATAGCCAAACGATCATATACAAATCTAGATGCTACCTAACCCAATAAATGTGGTACCCGTGAGGTTTGAGAGGCGTATTATTTTCTGTGACATAATATTGTCATTCTGGATCCGAGTACTTTATTATACTAATATAGTTGTCCGTATTGTCACTCCCAAAATGTTGTAGTAGCATGTTTAGTTGAAGCTTATTATCAATGAGTTTGAACTTATGTTACAAATGTTTATGAATTTATGCTTGTTTTAACGCAATTAGTGATGAGTTTTTCACGTTTATAGATTTTTTAACGAGTGTGAAAATAAGATGTAATGCCAATATTCTTCTGCAGATGGACAATTGATGTGGGCTGGACCAGCGCCTGGGTCAGAATAGTAAATGAATGGTTGGCAGTGTGTGTTTATTGTAAGTATATTTTTAGATGAATTACTCTCTGTTTTTTTTCTCCACGAAACTAGGCCTAGCAATATTATATCTGAATTTTATCTAAGCAAAACTAGAAAAAAGAAGAGTTATACAAATCTCTTTGTGACACATTCTTTATGGAATGAAACTTATTAAATTGAGGTGGGACCCACATTATTTATTTGAGAGAGAGTTTATTTGATAATAAATAGTGTATTAAAAAAAGTATGAGAAATTATGTAGCTGATTTTCTTTATGGAAAATTTTAAACTTAAGAGAGAGGGACTTTTTTTAATGCAAAACACAATGTGTGTAGTTTCTTGAGCAAAGTAAGCTTTTGTATTTCTACAGTATGGATGCTAGTAGCTCCAATCATATGGAAGAACAGACATGCTGAATCGACATGAGCATGAACCTCCCTGTTATCCAAGTTGTGGTTTGATATTGTGAGGATTAAGATCTTCATATATCTGATGCACATGTAGTGGACTCCTCCAGCTGCTCCTCCTCTCTCAGAAAGGGAAAAGAATTGCAAATGCAACACCCATGAAATTTTAAGTCAGAAGCACTGGTTCTGGCAATTCACATGAGCTGTTGGATTTGTTAGTCGAAGCCATGCAGTTTCTCACTCCAGCAAGGGATAGCACAAAGAAGTATACACCTTTTTACCTGTTCATTTTTTTTTTTTGGGTAACATTTTACCTGTTCATTTATCACTGATGGAATATAAAGTAACTTAACAACCATTTAGTAGATCCTGCCTATCACAAATTTCATTTATGATTTGTCAATTTATAGTATCAGTCACCAAATAATGATCATGTCACAAATAATAAACACTAAGTTCAACCACTTCAATATATATTGTTAATTGTTTACGGAGTATATTTTAAAGCATCACCTGGGTTAAAATCGTTCCTAGATTTTCAAAATTAGCGATTAGATTCCTTGTACCTACTTCAATATAGTTTTTTAACTTTTAACGGAAATAACCCCTCTATAGTGAGATTAAGTAATCAAGTTAGGGGTTTATCCACTTTTACATTATAGTGAATTAAAATCATGATATATTTCGTATTAAATAAAGAGAAAATTATTTAGTTATTCACCTATGAAAAGTCTTGTATATTTTTGAGTAAATTAAACCCTCCTTTCTCGAGAAATACTTAAATTACAATCGTCTCTCTTCTTACTTTAAAATATATACTCCCCTCTCTTGAAAAATATATATAAGTTACACTTTCGTTTATTTTAGCATTAAAAAAATCCCTTAACAAGGTGAATAGTTATGGAAGTGTCTCTCGAGAATATTTTTATTTTCTACAATTTTGAATATCCCATTATTAACGCTAGTATTTTAGAAAGTAAAATGAAGTTATACTTACTTTTATTAATAACTTTGAAAATTCATCTAATATCTTTATTTTATCGTCTAAGCTCCCAAATTTGATAATAGACGTTTGAAATAGCTATTAATCATGTTGAGAATCATTGCGCGGCGAAAAATATTTTAAAAAAAATGTTCATTTGTTTAAAACAAATGAACTCGAATGGGACCCTTATCTATGAATGGAGGAATGATTTTTTAAAATAAGAGGGAATGAAAATACCTTGGAAGAGAGAAATATAATTTAGTTTTTTTTTTTTCAAGTCGTTTGACGTGAACTTAATCTCATATGAAAAATGACGTGGTCCTCGTTCACTAGCAATTTATTCGAGGAGCTTTCATACGACTAGGCTTTGTGGGTGCAACTTCACCATCATGGTTAGCCCCAAGTCCCCACTACTAGACACCTTTTTGTTTTCTGTCCAAACACTAGCCACTAGCTGAACGGGATGTGAGAGCCGCCGATTTCCAAGTTCTTCACGGACCTGATTATAAACGTGGCTGTGTAGGAAAAGGACTTGTTGGGGTATATTTAATTAGGCTTCGCATTTGCCGGTGCATGCAGTGATATAGAATCAGCCACTATCACAAAAATTTCGGCGAACAGAATGCGGCATAGAACTGTAGTGGCAATAAAGATGATTTCATGTACTATCCACAAAAAAGAAAGACCTTACCAAAATTGAGATTACAAAATCATACAATATGGTAAACGAAAGAAATAACACACGTAGAGGGCACCAAATAAGCATACATCATCACCCAATCTATACTACAATTACAAATGAACCCGTGGGTGCACCAAAAAAAGGAGAAAATTGTCTCCTCGAATAGTTCTCTGCACCACCCCCTCCTCTCCCCCCCCTCTCTTTTTCCTTTCATCCACTCTTTAACTCAGTCATTTAACGACCCTCTTCCCAGAAGGTAGATTTTGTCTTCACCTTTCCTATAGCAATAACAATTTACACGGCCAAATGCAAATATTTGACTTCGACCCGGTTAACACAAATTTCTCATTATGCGTAAGTGTATCACTTCCGCTGACAAACGATAGGACGAAACTTACACATAATTTGTACTGTGAGCAACAAGTTGATGCTTGACTTTACAAGTCGAGGTGGACAACCCTTCACATTATCCGAATGGGTTCCCCTGTGGAGGGAAGGGGTTAGAGGTGGGAGTAGATGATAATCTACCAGTCAGTTGCTGATCTGGATTTGACAAGCCGAAAACTGCTCCCTGGGTACCAAAATTCCCAACTTCTTGCCTACGCATTCAGTTAAAATCGTTGAGTGACAATTTAAGCAATGCTGAACAACAAATAATCATAGATTTTATCCATATAACTCTAATAAATTGCCCCTTGCACAAATCATTTCAAAAAGTAGGACTAATAAAAACTGAGGTGTCAATAATAGCACTTAACATCTGCCCATGTAAGAAACAGCAGAGAAACATGCAATGCTAAAATGAATTTTCTATGAATAAAGGGTTCACCATATCATTTAAGTTCATGCTTTGTACAGCAATATTTGGGATAGATAAAGGATAGGACCCAAATCCAAGAGCTAGTATACGACTGAAACTAAAACAGCCAATTCAAGAAATAAATATTATCATGATTAAAGAGTCGTTTACCTTGGCATTGGCATGTTAGATTGCATTTGTTGCCCCATATAAGCCCCTGAGATTTTCACATTGTTCAGGATACAGATAAAAAGCAAACCTTAAGCATTGAACAAATAATTGAAGACTGGTAAAACGATAAACATACTTGGTCCCAATGTAAATGGATGAGTTTGTGCTTGCACAGGTAGAACTGATGGAAATGATGATGGGGGGGCAGTCCAGGCATGTGAAGGATAACCCAGGTTTGCAGGGTGCATTGCACCTGAAGGTGGTACACTAGGCAGGGCACCATGCAAGGATGACATGGAAGGAAACTGCATGCAAGGAATTAACATATTAGAAAGTCAGTATCTCACACTTCAATGTTTCAGACTTCTCAATGTGAGGAGATCATTTAAAAAACAGATCAAATTCTCAGCATTTACCCGATATCCATTATTCTTATACAGATGTAGTTCAACTAAAGGCAGGATGCAAGCTTCAGAATGTGAAATACAGCTAATTAACCAGAGATGAAAAAACAAAACTTCTGACTCAATAGTGGACAAAATTCCAACCATCATTTATCCACAAACATGCTCTATGGAAGAGAAAAATCCTAAATTATCAATATTAAATGTAAATGGTTTAATACAATAGTCCACATTATACACCAAGGTTGACAATGGTATGAATATAAAGTATGAACTATTATTGGCAATAGCACAAACAGATGTTTTAAATAAATGAATGAAAACCACATACAGTTGGGGCTTGATCTGGGGTTGGTTCACTGCCGACATCAAATGGATTCATTGACTTTGATGGCTGTGGAAAACTTGGTACAGGCTGTAATAAGCAGGCAGAAATTTACATAAGAGAAATGCTCACACTAGTGTGTTAGCCACAGATTAAGCATGTGTTTGGTTTAATTATTTCTGGGGAAAAATAGTCCTTTGTTTTTTCAAAAAAGTTCTTTTAGAGTAAGCTTTGATTACAAACTGTTGTGAACACAAATAAACTAATCCAAACACACACTAGGATAATCTGGTAAGCTAATTATTCTGGATCGTAACAGTACCACCATATTATTGTATTGCAGTGAGATACCCATGCCATGGGGAACACCCATTAGCCAACCTGGAACTGGAGCAGGGAAGGAAGAATATTTCACAGTGAACAGATCCTGCATTAACCACAACTAACTGTAAGACAAACAATATACACATGCAAATGTGCACACATTATAGGCAAAAAAAGGACTAAACAATACCTCGGGAAGTTCTTTTCTTCCACTTGCTTTTACTTCCACAGACGGTTGTGAAACAACAGTAGATATAGCCTCATTGGCAGGCTTTGAGGCATGATGGTATGTAGGGGGCATTGGTGTGCTTGGATGCCCTTGCACTGCAGGCACAGGAGGTACATTCCATGGCTGCAAGATATTTCCAGGAAAGGGTTAAAAAAAATACCAAATCTGAAATTGACAGGCAGAACATTTTGAGATGATTGCCTAACCTGATTATTCGCAGTACCAACTACTGGTGGTGTAAATTGTTGTGTAGTAGACTGGTTAACAGCAGCAGGGAACAGTGGTTGCTGATGCTGCAAACTGGCCCACTGTCCTGCATTATTGGGACGTAATACTGATGTCAGTCCAGGTGATGGTACTGAAGCAGCATTGGGTGGGAAAGCTGAGAAACCGCTAACACTTGTGGCTCCAGGAGTAGAAGTAAGAGATGAAGCTGGAATAGATCCTGAGGAAAAACAGACGGGTCATCAGTTCTTGGTAATAATATCACACTGCCCAAGGAATCACAGTTGCAATAAGGGAGGGTTACCTTGGACTCCAGAAACATGAGTAGGTAAAGATGCTGGCACAGACAACTGCGACAGCACTGATTCAAGTGGATTTAGATTTGAGGCGCTAGGAGTTGCTTTTGCATCAGGAGCAACATCAAAAGAAGCCCAATTGTGATCACTGGTATTTGCTGGTTGCACAGCAGGTTGAGGCACGGTTGTTTGTTGTTGGGCTTGCGGAATTGATGGAGCAACTGGAAGCTCAGGATCAGCATCAAAATCAATAAGGCTCTTAGTAGTCTCAAGTTTAACTTCTACTGGGTTTTCATTGTTGGATGCCATGCTACTTGAAGATGCAGTTCTCTGAAATTATAAACAGCCAGTAATAAGATTTGCATTGAGAAACAAGTTTTGCTACCTTACTAAACTAAACAGAAGTTATGTCAAAATAGTTCATGCTAAACAAAGTAAACAGTAAACATTGAGCCAGATCTCACAGAAAATTAACTCCAATGAACAGTGTGTTCATGTTACTGTAGATTGACAGGATTCCTTCATCGAAGAAAATCTTTAAGTATACAATGATAACAAATTCACAAGCAGATCAAAACAGTACATTAAACCAAAAACGTATTCAAGGGAGTAAGAGTGAAAATATCAGCTGCAACTGACAAAACATAATGAATTTGTTATAGCATAGCATCAATGATAAACAGATCACATGTAAATAAAGAAGAAATTCCACATCAAAGGCATGTAGTATCATATCAGGATTCACCTGTGTCAGGGCTGAGCCATCAACAGCTCTTCCACTGTTTGGTTTGGGGGGTTCACTTATCCGAAGCGGTACTACATTTTCTCCCAAAATCTCTCTAACAGGTCGAACCATAGGTGGGCTTGAAGAACCCATATCTTTGACTCGCTCAGGAGATTGGTTTTCCACCTTAAAATCTCCATCCAATGTTCTACGATCTTCACGACGCCAATCATTAATTATTGGAGGACGACCAGGACTTCTCTTATAATCACCATATTGCCTACTTTCTTGATCATATCCAGGACTTCTCCCACCTGGACTAGACCTGTCACTATAACGACGTTCATATGCATCTTCATATGGAGGGCTTTTGGATCCTCCTTGATAGAAATCATCTTTGTCACCCTGTATAACATGCAACATAACAAAAGAGATGAGAATGTTAGCCTTATTTGATATATTGGAGCAATTCTAAATCAAAAACAATAGTACATAAGTTGAAATTGAAAATGTAATAAACCGTGAAATATAAACTTAAAAGAAATAGTTAATCCAAAAGGGGGCAAGAGACATCTTACCGATTTGACTCTAGGTGGTTTGTCATAAGTCTTCTCTCCAGTGAATCTTCTATCCACATAAACATGCTTAATAAAGTCTCGGAGTCTGTCAACATTACTGGCACCAAATATGCTAATCAGAATAAATAAATAATGCACCCTGCAATTATACATAAACATTACAGCCAAGTAGTTACCTGCCATCAGGGACAGAATGACGTTGTGCGTCCCATTCTTTAAAATAAATTTCTTTTGCACGCTTCAAGCATCAGACAAAGAAGAAACCAACTTAAGCATGTATGATATCAAACCAACTGAAAAGATATCTAGTGTGAGTTCTAGCACAAACAGGTAACTATACCTGATTTCCTCCTTCTTGAAGTGCACTAACTTCTTGTGAAGTAAATTTAGCCATTGAAACTGATTTTACTCTATGTGTGAATTCTCGGCTGTAAATCAAGTATCAACAAAAAAAGCAGTTAACTTTCAAAGAAAGTGAGGAGCTAGAAAGGAAATGCTATTGTTCTCTCTCCATACAGCATAACATATTTTAAACAAAATGCAGTTTCTACACACAAGGAATATGAGAGCTTGCACATTATTAGATTATGTGAGATTTAAACTCACGACCAAAAATAGTACAACAATATACACAAAGTACACATTTGAAACAATCACAAGAATTTTATGAGCTAAATAAAAGCAAATGGGAAATTCAGTCCACTAACATCAGCAACATTGATCACCAAAGCAGGCCAACATGAACCACCAAAACAAGTATTCATAATTCAAATCAAATCATAGAGACAGTGTAGACATATAAATACTACAATAAGCAAAAATCTTGTAAGTACTTACTGTATTCCACTGCAGTTTGTGCAAACAAACGTCCAGAAATTTGTGCACACATATTGTGGTCCCTTCCAAAAGAGAAAATAAAATAATTAATGTAAGAGACCTTTCACTGTATCAAATGCAATAATTTCCTTTCTAGGTTATGAAGAATGAAATCAGAATGCTCTAAAAGTTGATTAGTAATTAACAACACTTAAATCAAAATCTACAAAATGATTGTAAAGGAATTTAAGCAGAGATTCAAATTTATCCCTTCATTAAGGATCATGAGATCTAGGGAATGATCAACAGGTGATGGGCACAGTTATCATCCTTGAGATTTTGGTAGTCTACAGGCACAGCCATGCATTAAAAATGGTAACATTGATCTGCCTGTCAATGACGAAATAAAATCCATCTGCCACAGGCTAACGGTGATATGGAATCTGTATAATTGAGGAAGTTTACACCCTCAAACACCCCAATGACCTATTCTTAGAAATATATATTAAATCCTTGCTACCATATTAGTCCTAAATCAAAGGATCAAACAACATAGGCAAATCCTAAAGTAACTTAATGTCAAAATGTCTCACATTGGTTAGAAATATGACTAAAATGCTCCATATAAGACTTGGGGTGGGGCTTGGCCAATCCTTCTCCCTTAGCATTCAGAAGTGAATTAGGCTTAGTCTGTCTTTAATGCTTAATATTCAATTTTATATAATCCATACACATTAGCCAACCTCACTTAGTAAGATAACACTTGGTTGCTATTATACACATCTCCCAAAGCATGCTAGAAATTTTAACCTTCCTTAGAGGCCTTATAAATTAGTAGAAAAATTATCTTTTTGCAATAAAAACCGTTGAAATTGAATGACTAATCATATTTGAAATATTTTGTTCCTGTTCATCAGATGAAAAGATCAATTAACTTGTTTGTTTTATTCTGAAACGCTCAGTGTTAATAATAGCTTCATTGCCAATGCAACCTAATCCAGGGCTAGTGACTCCTATTTAGATAGTCATAAGAAATAGTACTATATACCCACTGGTGTTCTTCAAATAACTGTTTAAGCAAATCTGAAATAATTTAGCACTCTTTTCACGAAGCTTCTGGAATCAATGTGTCATCAATACTCGTTAAGCAGTGTAAAAATAAGGAAAGAGTATACTGTGTCAGTATCTGTCATTGATCTTTAAAAGATAGTTCTATAATAACCACAAATTCAAGTGTTTGTTAACCAATTTCAAATTACAAAACTCATAAGTCCAAGTTACTTAATAAATAGCCTGTCGTTTGCCAAACGACGGTTACTGCGATGCTAACAACTAGCCACATTCATAATATGGACGTTTGCATTCCCAGAATCTAACTAGAAAATCCTATAAAAAGACAAAGAATACGTTTCTTTAGCAAGTAAATCCACACTCCTACATATCTAACCCCACACTCGTAGAAATTTCAACCATTTTTTTATTCCATGTACTAGCATTTGTGCCCTGATTGTAATGGAATCATCTTCCAACAATTACCAGACCGTGATAAACATTTACTCCTGAATTTTCAACTCAGTCAGCTCACATGCATATAAACCATGTTACATTGGTTGTCCCCACCACTGTCTCACAGTCCAGTGACTTCAAAAATTTTGCATGTCATTAATTTTAATGTTAACGAATTATCTGGAATTATTAATATTTTCTTGTTTTCTATTTCCTATTCCTATTCTACCAAGTTAGCATTTACTCCTGAATTTTCAACTCAGTCAGCTCACACGCCATATAAACCATGTTACATTGATTGTCCCCACCACTGTCTCACAGTCTGGTGACTTTCAAAATTTTGCATGTCATTAATTTTAATGTTAACGAATTATCTGGAATTATTAATATTTTCTTGTTTTCTATTTCCTATTCCTATTCTACCAAGTTAGCATCAAGTCGCATTTACCGAAGCTAAAAGGAACAGTAATAACGCATCGAATTTGTTAGAAAACTCGATTAACATCTTACCAGACTGTTGCAGTTAATGCATCTGCGATTGGGTTGAAGCTTGAGAAGACCTCGAATCACGCGCTCGTTTTTCTCATCTTCTTTCAACCGACTCGCCATCTCCACTCTACACTGGAACTTCAGTACTGCACTTCAGTCGATAAAAAAAGCATGCGAGCGAATCAAGTTAAAGTTCAAATCGAAAATCACGCATCCAAAAACAATGATGCAGAAGAATTGAATAGACCATGGATTTCTTAGGCAACAATTTTACGCAGACACGAAGAACAGCAGATCTGAGAAAAAGAGAGTTGAAGTATAAACCCTAAGAGGTTGAAGAAATGGAATTGGGAACTGACCTGAGCAAACAGTTGGAGACTTGAATTGAAGAGAAGAGACAGATCAACTAAGCACAGCTGAAACCGAAGAGAGAGAAAGGAAGAGAGAGAGCGCAGATCCTTCTCAGTCGCCCAGTCGGTAATGTAATGACGGCTTTGTCCAGCTCAGAGAGGTTTTAGCACCAAATCTCTGCGCTAAACAGTTACTTACACCCTCTTTCGACGTGTTATTATTATTATTATTATTATTATTATATTTTTTATTCAGTAAAATTTCATGTTAATTTATTTTTTCTAAGTTAGTTAAAGCAAATATATATTTAAGGTGCGTTTAGAAATATAATTTATTTAAATAATTATTTCATATTTACTATATAAAAATTTATTTTATAAACTAACTATAAAATATTTCATAAAATATAAAATTATCTAAATTAATTGATAATTTAAGAACTATTATTAAAGAAATTAATTTTATAAAATTTAATAAAAAATAAAATTAATAATCATTTTATTTTAACAAATAATATACTTTTAAAATATAAATAAATGTTAGATTTTAAATAATACTTACAATATTTAAGTTATATAAAATTCAATATACATAATTATGAAAATAATATAATATAATTTAATCATTAGATTAATCAACGTTGTATTTTATAAAATAGATTATTAAATTTCACTATAAAAATTAGTCTCATTAAAATATGAATGTTTTCATTATAGAAGATTAGTTTAAGAAAAATAATGTTAAGTTTATTGAATAATTATAATTTTGTTAAAATTATAGACAATAATAGTTAAATTTAAAGAATGTGTTGATATAATTAAATATGTGATGGTATTTATTTTACTAGTTTAGGGTGTTTATGGAACATGAGATGTTGTAAGAAATGGGCCTACTTAGGGGAAATTAGAAGAAATGTGTCCACGCCAACTGGTTTGGTCATACATGGCGACTATTAATTAGTTTAACATTTTAAATATCCAATTTGTGCTTTGAATTCATGGGTTTCTGTCTAGATCATGACATTGAAGTTTATAAAGACTGAACCAAACATGCACCATAGACAATAAACATCTCGTGTCAGGTCAAGGCCTCTCATTACTTGGATTGAAAAACTCGTGACTTCACCTCACTGTTCATCTTATTCATTTCATTTCCCATTTTTCATTCAAATTAGAGTAAATAATCATGCATTATAAAAACAAATTATAGTTGTGCAATCCAAAAAAAAAAACTCACCACTCACAAGTGGTAGTTGCAAAAAATTATATACTTAAATACACTTTTAAATATCCGTGAATATAATTAATTTTATTTTTATAATTTTATTTTTTTTAAATAATATCACTGTTTAATAACAACATAATAATATTTAATTATGTGACATTAATAATTTTTTTAAATATATAATATGACATGCGTACGTACATGTCATTTATAAACAACTCTTATGTTGCTGTTGTATAAACTAATTATATTATTGTTGTTAATTTAAATTATTATATTTTTACATATTTAATTTTTAAGTATATAAAGTTATTTACTTTTTAAAAATAGTTCTGTCAGTTGTTATCAATCCATTTAAGATAGAAATAAATTAAAATTGAAATGAATAGTAAAATACAAAAATAGAAGATAAGTTATGAAGTTTAAAATTAGAGGCTAATTATAATTAAATTAATTTTAACAGCTCATGACATTTACAACCTTCATATTCTATGTAAATGTAAATCACGGTATATAAACTTATAATCAGACAAAAGATATATTGCCAAGGATGTCTTCAATATAAAAAATAAAAAATAAAAATTTCTTCCACTATTCTTTAAATAAATGCATTGTTCAAGCATCTCCTTAAAGCCAAGTAAGCTTATAATATGATCAAATTTTTTAAGTTTTTTTTGCTCATAAACATTATAAAAATTTACAATTTTGTAATCAATTTTTACTCATTTAAAAAATTATATATACAGTATCGACGTTAAACGCAAAAGAAAAAAATAATATTATCAATTTAAAGTACACAAAAGGATAAATTAAATATTAAATTATGATCGTAACTACATGCATAACAAAAATTCTAAATAATTTTTCATAGAAGATATTGAGTTATCAGCATGTCCCTCCAACAGATGATTCCAAAATCAGCTGTAGCAGCTAGTATTAGTCCATCAACTTTGGGTTAGCTGGTAGAAGAGTCGATGTAGAACTGCATAGCAAACTCTGCCATCCATCTTTGTCACATGATGGCTAGGGAGACCTGCAAACCTAAGAGCTGGTATCGATATCCTTTCTCAGCAGTATTTAATTGGGACATCGACCTTAAAATTTTGAAGCCTCTCTCTTCTATTATAGCTTAAGCTCCAAAAGTATTTATATATAATTCCAAATACAACGTATCAAGAAGAAAGAAAAATATTCAAGACTTATAAACCACATCAGAATATAAAAAATTGCAAGATATTACTGACATATGTTAGGAAATGCAAAAGGTAGACAAAAATTATAATTGACAATCATCCAGTGATATGGTACTTTGCTAGAACTACTAAAGTCAGTTAAATATGTACTAAACCAAATACAAACAACTGTAATAAGTTAAAAATTATAGTAAATTAAAAATTATTAATTTATTATTGAACCTGGTTACACACTAACGAATATTATAATATTTGTAAAAAAATTATTATTTGATAATTAAGATTGTAAAATTTATTTTATAAAATAAATAATATTATCTTTTTAAGTAAAATACTATTATATTCTTTGTTAACACTAAGAATATTAATAATAAGAGAGCAGCATATAGACTATTATTTAATAATAGATTAAAATTTAATTATTAAAAGTACATACTTTAAGTAATCAATTTAGTCAATGAGTTAGTGACAAAATAAAGAAACACAAGATTAACGGTTATAAGACAATGGAGTAAAAATCTTTGTCAAATGTTGATAAAATTATTGTAAATATATTATTATATATTTCAAGCAAACTTACTACACAAATAGTAAATACAAAGATAAAAAGAAATTTCTTCTCTCTTTCATATTTAAAAATTAACTTAACAGGATTAATCTCAGTATGTCACACTATTAAAATTTTTTTATAATTCAAAAAATTATTAATAGGAGCATAATTTAATTTTTTTTATTTGATCTGATATATTTTAGTATAAAATAAATCTGATATATATAGAAAAAGATATATTTATAATAATATAAATTTAAAAATTTTTACACTCAATCTAAGTCTTTCATTGTAAAATAATAAATTTTATATGCTAAAGTAAAATGTCAAGTATGTCCAAAATATAATAATAATAATTTTACTTGAGGTCAGGTCATGTGGGTGACCAAAATATATTTTGCTATACCTATTTTTGTTGAGAAAAGAAAATTTGTTATATTTATGAGCACATCTTATTCTATGCATACATGTGTGTGAAATGGACCTGAGTTTTGACATGTGTGTGAATGGATTTAGAGCCGTTTTTTAACTTTTTGAGACCCTAGGCAAAATAGAAAATTAGGGTCCTTTAAAAAAATTATACAATATAATAAACAAAATAAAAGTATATATTAATAATTTTATTAAAATAATACTTTTTTTTAAGGGGCTATAATTTTTTCTAATAAAATTATAAAAAAAATATTTTTCATTCAAACAACTTTTATGTTATAATTAACTACAAAAAAATAAAAAAAATAGATTCTACAAGCATTTCGAGATGCAAAATTATTAATGATAACATTAACATTAATATTTTTTAAAAATTCTTTATCGATTGATAAAATTGTGAGACTATTCAACGGTTCTTGTGACATTGATGACTTTAGGTAAGTTTTGATTAACTTTAACTCTAAAAAACTTATTTCAGTTGATGATATAATCATCGGGACCGTAAAATAAATTCTATAAGTGATTAAAACATTTAGATAATAATTTGCAAATTTGACAAACTCAATAATTATTTAATTTTTTTGAGAAAACTAAAATTTTCCATGAGCTTTAATGTTAAGAATAGTAAAATTTTGGAATTAAATGAAGTTTTGAGTTTACAGAAGTCAATGAGTCGAACATTTATAGAAAGTGAGATGCGAAAAATTAAAAAGTCTTTTTATTTTTTCTATTTTTTCCAACTGCAAACTATAAGAGCTGAAATTTTTTTTCAAGTGAAAGTAGGACACAATTTTTACTTTGGGCCCTCTTTTAAGCTTGGGCTCTAGGTGATCGCATCTCTAAACTACCTTCAAAATCAGGCCTGAATGGTCCTGAGTTTTGATGTCACTGATCGCGTTGCACAGGGTTTACAATCACAAACAACATCTTGGTCACGACAAACAAAAAAAGAAAGAAATATTGTAAATATAAATTTTTTTAGATTATTTATTAATTAGAATACATTATAAATATAATGTTTATATTACTTATTATAAAGTAAAAAAATTGCTGATAATTCATAATAGGATTACAGAGAAAAAAATATTAATAGTGAATTTAAATTAAAATATTTTATTTATGTGACATCTAATTTTTTATGTATGATAATTAAGATGATGGATGCTTTCTATATATTCCCAAATGGCTTATCAAAAGATATATTAAAAAAAAACAAAGTAAAAACTGTGGCGTTCGTAAGTTACCTTAAAAAGAATAATTGTGAAAATTTGGAAACCAGATCAGTTACAATCTTGTTTAGTTTGAAAAAATGAAAAGAATGAGTAAAATAAGTGATAAAAATTAAGCAAGATTTTAGATTATTTAATGATCTCTTATAACGATATTTATGTCTTAAAATGAAATATAATTTTTAACTAAAAATAAATAAATATATATTTTTTACAAATGGAAAATTGTTAGTCATGTATTTTTTTTAATATAACATAAAACCGTACTAACACACTACTAAACTCAAATATATGTGATAATTAAATTTGGCAAAATTGTAAAGATTAAATTGCCAATATTTAAATTTAGAAGATTAAATCGATAAATGATTTATTTTCCAATAATAAAAATACCAGTTGTTGTGACTTATAGCTACATATGTAGCAACTAACAAGCTATGGAGTATGGACTATCCTAGTGGAACCTTTTGTGAGCCAACAAACAACGAAATGTCACATCACCCACTATATATCATGAACACATGCTTCTACATATACTTATAGTCTTTTATATAAATTAGGCAAGGTTGTTCCATTCTAAATGCTGTGAATACGTTACAATATGTTTGATCTTACAAAGCTAAAGGAGACACAAGTGCTATCTCCTCCTAGTCCCAGTGAAGTGACTCCTTCTATCTATCCATGCAAAAGCAAAATTCATGTGACTAACATTCAACCTGACACATGAATTAGCCCTTAGCATTTGTTTTTCAAAATTCTCCTTCTGCTTCCATTGAAAGGTTCCACTGTCACATGGACCAACCTGTAATAAAAGAGTCTTTATCTAACACAATTATTCAATGAGTCAATAATTTGTAAACGCTTCTTATCTCATGGCATCCAATAATGCATTACCGCATGTCCCATCTTGCACCATCATATAGTCAATGTGAAGGCAAAGATGTCCATAGCTTCTCATTTGGGTCTCAATGGGTCTCAATTACTTACTCCATCATTTGTCTCTTTGCCCCATGCATTTAAATTTGAGATTAAATACGATGCACCGATAACCTTTTTATAATACTATAATCACATGACACATTATTAAGTGTTTTTCAAGTAATAGTTGTAATGATTTAATTTTTTTAATAATATATTTAACACTATACGATTGGAGAATAGTATAAGGAAGTTATTATGAGTCAAAAATTAAATCCTTCAAATTTTTATAATGGCTAATCTAGAATGTTAAGCATGCAAAGTCTCTCAATCAAGTATATTTTCTAATGATTTAGGTCCAAAGATAGAGAGTGATTTGTCACCTAGACACCTAGTGTTTCTAAGTTGTTTTTAAATGGTTTTATAGATTATCCGATTCATCTCTGTTGCCAATGCATCACTGTGCACTATCTCTGTGAAGATTGTTTACTACACTTTGTATCAACACGAGACAACTTCAGTGCACTAATACAATCGTCCGAACTGCTAAGAATATGTGGCACGCTTATTCTCTTGTTTCAAAGCTTATAGTTTATTATTAATTTGGATGATAAAATCGCTCACTACATACATATTCCTTTCCTCGAAATTGGGCTAAGCCTCATCACATTCACAAATAAAGTTTCTCATTACTACTTCCTGTCCTGTGTGATCCTTTGTTTCTTCCTTTTAATTTTCTAATTCTTGATCATGTGACAAGTTTCTCCTCTTTTAATACGCATCAGTTTCTTCCATAGTCATGTGTCTCCTTTTATGACACTAGTGGGTTTGTTCTAAGGATAATTATGAGATGACATAGTGCGTTATTTAAAATTTATTATAATGTATTTCCAGTCACAAAATCACTTATTTATATTTACGTTTGAATGGGTATAAACTCGCGTTTAAATATTATTAGTCTCAACTTTTACATTAAATGCACGTTAATAATTCTTTTAATTTGTTTTGAAAACACACTGCACCGATCATCCAATTCATAATAACTAAGATTCGTGAGTTGTGACTGATAAAAAGATTTGTAGTCATAGTGTGTGACAAATAATGTCATCCTAGTTGCGTCCTTGATGGTTTGGTAACTTTGGCCTAGTGTTTGGTGGTTCATCACACGACAATCTCTAACCACACTGGAATCTATTTTCTATTGTTATTCCTCGTAAAATTCATTGGGTTTTGTGCTGCTTTTGGCTTCCCCAATAAAATTTGACCTTAAGCTTCACTGTTACCCCACTCCCCTTATGTCTCTCTCCTCCTTAATAATAATATATAAGATATTCTTCCTACCCTTCTTTGGTTGAGACTTTAGACTTATGTGGAGGATTTTTTAGTTGTTAGAACAGAACCCTTCTTTCTATTCAGATTTGCATTTGCCTGAGAATAAGAGGTTGAAATGGGGAAACTGGGAAGGATGTTGGACACATTCTGTCTTTCTTCGGGTTCAAACACTTGCTTTTGCATGAACTCCATGGAACTTGAAGATGAGTTTGAGACTAAGCCCTTAATTGTAAGTGGCAGTGATCATAAACTAAGATTGAAGGATGTAGTAGCTGGAAAGCAAACATTGGCTTTTCAATTGAAACCCCAGGTGAGGCCTTTTTTGTCTTTCTTTCTTTTTCCTACTCTCACTATGAAGTTTCTATTGAAATACCAGTCATTTTTCTTTCATACCAAATGAAAAAAGAAAACACGTTTGATATTATATTAGACAGCTTCTTGCATTAGTTAATCTAATATCTTCCTATTGACCAAATATGTAGATAGTGATATTGAGGGTGTCCATGCATTGCTATGGCTGTGCAAAAAAAGTTGAGAAACATATCTCAAAGTTAGAAGGTGAGCATATTGCCATTTATTTTTTTCATGTCATAAAAAAGCTTTTTGGCTCAATTTAACTGTCACAAAAAGACTAAAAGGTTATATGATATAACATTACTAGTAGTGGTAGTGATAGTGATAGGCATGTAAGCCTTTTGCTTTATCTTTCTTCAATTTTGTGCTTATGTTTGGTGTTCTTTTTCTAAATTTCATTCGAAGCTAAGCCAAATTCTGTCAGATATTGTTGAACATTAAGATGAATGGGGTTGCCCAAATGTCCACTAGAGGAGAGAGATTATGTTAACCACTCCTTTTGACAACATCTACAAAAAAAGTCAACATTATTATTGTTTATTTTCAGTATGTGGTATGATTGTATTTAGTTTGCTTTGTATATGTATGTATTCATAATAACTTAATTTCAACAGGAGTGAGCTCTTACAAGGTGGATCTGGAAACCAAAATGGTCGTAGTCATGGGCGATATTCTTCCCTTTGAAGTGTTGGAAAGTGTATCTAAGGTGAAAAATGCTGAGCTTTGGAATTCACGTGCTAGTAATTAAGGAATAATTTTGGACACTGCATCCATCTTCAGCAGATTCAACAAAGACTAAAGTTGAAGTAGAATCAAGGAGCTCTTATTTTTCTGTCTCTTTTTGTTGTTGTATACAGTGTATAATATTAATACCATCATTACCATGCCGAGCTCCATTAATTGTTCTGCTTGAAACCAAATTTAAAAAACTGAAGTGTATCGATTGTGAAGGTTCATATATATGGCCATAGAATTAATGATTAAATTTTCACTTCTGTGTGACCAAGTTGCACCCCTCCAAAAGAATCATATTATACTTGGCATTTTTTGTTATTTTTAACACTTTTTAGGAGCTTGCGCTTCAAATTTATTTCCCAGATCACAAATATATGCCGGGGGAAACTTGAAACTAATAGTACTATAGCAGTGACCAGAACTTTTTAAGGCCAGTGATAATACTGACATATGATTTAATAAGGTAGAAAGATTAAAAGGAAGATTCATTATGTACGGTTCTCTGCTAACTTGAATTAATAAACAAAAATGTGCCCTTTGTAGCAAACAAAATAAATTCAATTTGAATGCACAATTAGTTTTGTTTTCAGTAAAAGTTTTATGTTGCTTTAACCAATAACATGGTTGGTCAGATATAGAAAATTTCAAGGATCTAAATTAAAAAAGAAAAAAAAAGTTAGACCTATAACACTGAAATAAATTTAAGAAAATAAGTACAAACTCAAGCAATGGGAAAAAAAAACTCCTCAAACGTGAAATATAAGCTCAAATTTAAGATTCATTATAAGTGAACGTACCTCAAATTTAAATTGTATAAAATATTTTATACAAATGGATTACTCAAACTTAACTCTATAATTACTCTCACTCTCAAGTTCAAAATCATAATTAATTATATTATGACCATACAACAGGCTCCATTTTTTTTGCTTATGTACTCTGACTAAACTAAAAGAGGTTGAATTGAATCACAAGCAAATCTGCTTATTGCTGAACACAGATACAGCAGACCCACGAGGGAGAATAGCTTCACTGACATGCCTAATGTAGCCGTCACCATGAAATAATTTTGTACTTACCTTCTCTCCTTTTGCCTTTCTTCTCACGCTACTGAGCCCCCATGTTAGTATGTTACAAAACATCATAGAGAACAAAAACACACAAGTACAGCTTTGTGGTTGCTTCGCAATTTATATAAAACATGGAAGCAGTGAGAGACAAAAAAATTGAGGAAAAGAGAACGGTATCTCTTACTATTAGAGGGCTAAATTTGTTTGTAGCGTAATGTTGTAGGACATGTGCAACAATTATAAAGGACAAGGGACATGTATAATGCTAATATGATAGATCCACCTCTAACTTTTTAGCCACGTCAATGGAATTTGCTTGGAAAGTTGTTAATTTTACAAATCAATCAACCCAGTAACATGTCACATTTATAATGCTTGTTGTACAAGCGACAAGGAACCTGATATTTCTTAATTAAGATCTTAAGTTTGAGTTGTGATTCTATGAATGAAAATACTAGATGTTGAAAGAACTTTTACCCATTTATGGAAGCATCTAAAAGAGCTAACAGAAACTTTTTAAAAATAATTTGCAACTCTTGTAAGATTTTTTTGGCTTATGTCAATGTAATTTATTAAAATAACCTTTTTTAAATTTATTAAAATTTGTGTCTAAATCTTAATGATTTATGTGATAACAATTTATTGAATATATCCTTAAGTAAAACAAGTTTAATTAAGTGGACTCGCTGGAATTTACTCAAATTAATTAGACCCAAAAATAGTTTGAAAACACATACCAAAATGAATCTATTGATTTCTTTTGGTTCCTCCATACATTCATGTTTGGGCTAGGCTCATTAGATAAGGTGGGCCTCAATCTAGATGCGATCACAGGCCCAATTTATGACAAAAAAAGTCAAATGAGAAAGTCGTTTTTTCCGTTACGTGTTGAAAGATTCTTCTATAGATTATCATATACCCTCATCAAGTCTCGTTATTCTCGTGACAGATACAGAAAATTGACAAATAAAAAATAAATAAATAATAAAAATATCTGTCTCATTTTCTCACATAATATATACACAGGAAAATTAAAAGAAAAAAAATTGGATTGAAACAAAAATCACAATGAATCCAAAAATTCTCGTCTTGCTCGCGCTTCTGCTGAATCTCATATCCGATTCGTTGCAAAACCCTAACCCTAAAACCCTTAAATCAAAGCCATCACCGGCTCACGTGGAGCTTACAAACTACGGCTTCCCCGTTGGTCTTCTTCCCGCCACCACCGTCTTGGGATACGCCGTCAACGAAACCTCCGGCGATTTCTCCGTCCGGCTCGGTGGCGCGTGCAAGATCACACTCCCTCCAGACAACTACGTCGCCACCTACTCCGACACCATCACCGGAAAGATCTTGAAGGGGCAAATCGCGGGGCTCGACGGAATTAGGGTTCGCGCGTTCTTCAAGTGGTGGTCCATCACCGGAATCCGCTCCTCCGGCGACGACATCGTCTTCGAAGTCGGCATGGTCACGGCGAAGTACCCCTCGAAGAATTTCGATGACAGCCCCGCATGCGAGGGCCAGCACTCTGCTTCGTGAGAAGGTAAGGGTTTTGTTTTATTTTTTGCACCTTCATGATGCTTAATTAGAGAACCTTGAGTTTTAGTTACATGCGAATCTAATTTATAATATGTGAGAATATGCAAATTTGATTTCAAATTATCCCTTTTTATGTAAGTTTTTCTAAGGTTTTCTAAAGAAAACATTATAAAAAATCAATAAACAGTAATTTTTATTAAAAAATTGTAGTATTTAATGTTATTAATGCGCTAAATTTAGTGATATAATATGATTTTTGATAAAAGCAAAAAATTATAGGTTCTTATTGTCTGTCCAATGCCACACGTTAGAAATATCGTTTTCATATATATAATTTTTGTTTGATTTGGTTATTCTTTTCATTTGGTGGTCTTTTGTGTTGTAATGTAAATGAGAATAAAGCTTTAGATAGGGATAGAATGACAGAGAGAGCTCTAATGTTAGATAGTGCTTTCATTTTCATGCCTTGAGCTATTCAACTATTGGCTCGTTACATTGCAAAAACAAAATGCTGACATGGGGCCATGAAAATATTGAATTTTACTTTGTTGGTTACTATTATCGTCTTCACTTTCAGGGATTTTATATCATGAATCTGATTGGTAGCTTTTAGACAATGTGTTGATTAGAACTACAAACCGACATTGGCCTTTCTCTAGGTTTTAGTTTTTGGAGACATAGTATATTAATATCATCATTAAGCTTTAGAGAATATTGGTAACGTGATTGGATTTGTATTAGTATGATTAAAAAGATAGCAATTATTATGAATGATTTTACTTGTTATCTAAGCTTCGATTAATTTTTTATGGATTGTTTTGTGCCGACAAATTTTTCTTTTCTTCAACATGAAGTACTGCAGTAAGTTTTTGTTAAGGCTGGCAAAAGCTTTTGTAGTGGGTTAATTATGCTTTATTTTCTCTGTTGTATTAGTTGATATCAGACTTTGAAATAATTCTAACTTTTTTCTGTTTTTATTATACCATTGTCTACTGTCACCCTCAATTTTATTTAGTATTCCTGCTTGAAGGTTTTTGGTGCTGTATGAGAATGTTTATCTGATTTTTTTTATAAAATTATTTTGTTACACTATCAATGGTTTTTCTCAATTAACCTTATTGTCTTTGTTGTCCTATCCTATAATTTTACTGATAAATGATTTATGTGGATTGGTGGAATTTAATGTTTATTTATTTTCTTCACTCTTTTAGTATAGTTGTTCCTGTTCTTGTCTAGTTAGGTAAATTGCAAAAGAAATTCTGGCAATTCCTCTTAGCTTTCTATTGGCAGTGGCACATACTAAATCTGTCAACGGGATCTTTTTGTTTCCACCATTTAGATATTTGCTTTGGCTTTTTGGCGTTGGCTTGCCCACAATATTTTTGAGATACTCTTTCCAGTTCCACCTTTACCGTATCTACTAACTACCGTACAAGAATTTGACTTGCTTACTTTACTTTATTTAGTTAGATCCACTTGATTAGTGACTATTACATGGACTTTGTCTGGCTCTTCATAGGTTCGGAGCTGCGTTTAAGCTCTGAAGTATTTTGTCCATTTGGCTGATTTCATAGACCCACAGTTTTCCGAATGTCTTGCTTCATGTCTCTGTGGTTCTTGTTCCAATGTTTAACCGTGCTTAAGCTCCATTTGTCAGACAAAGGGAAACCCGCTGAGCTTTAGAATATGAGCTTTGCAGCAGATTCTAGAATCTTCCTTCAATCTAAGAAAGGGAGCGTATTCAGTTGTTTGTGACATATGCGCATCATAAGAAAACTTCATGCTGAAGCCATGCACGGTTGTTTGGTGCATATTCCTTTTCCCATGCTCTTTTGGGAATACAGGACTGAGATGTCAAACTTTCTTTTCTTATTATAAAATATTGTTACTATATTTTCTTTCTAGGTGCATTGATAAAAAGGTTGCTTTAAATCTCAGAATCTGTTTTAGTTGACTTACTATGAACTATGATATTTAATATGCTAGACTAGTTACGGTCAAGGCATTCTTTCTTTCTTTCGTTTTTAACTGCCTTCATCTTTTTGTAGTCTACCGAATTCATCTTATTTTGACATCTTATCTTCCTTTATGCAGGGTATTAGCTACTTATTCGCAGCCTTCGTGTGTTATGTAATGAGATAGCGTCCACTAAGTGCAGATAATTCAAAAGCCGCTCGTGTTATGTATAATATTGCAAGATAGTGCTTTTGTATAATCGTATTTATGCTAAGTCGAATCTACTTTGATATCACTTGATGGTCACGTTACTCGCTGGACTAGTTAATAAGGCCACTTTGGATGTTTTTTATTAAATATTCTCTGTTGCCCATCTATGTAGTATAGTATAATATAATGTAGTATAGGATGGCTTGCCTTTCCAAAGTCAATGCCGTGCAAATATGTCCCTCTTTCTTCTTGGCTGAATGATAGCCTAAATATGTGCTTGTAGAAGATGAAAGAATAAAAATAAAGAGTGTATTGCGATTATATAACATCGATGTTAAGGAACAAATTGAAATTGGTGTTAGGTGGGGAACTCACCTTGGACCGACATGTATAAGGATTTGATGCCACCCTGTTCCGAGTTTGAAGGAAATAAACAGTGTTATGTACGATTTCGACTCATGCTTTGAGATACAATGTTATCTTAGATTTTTTTCTTATTTATCCAATGTTCATTTTTGCCACAATAAATTTGCAATTAATAAAATTTTATATATAATAAATTAATATACAATAATACACAAATTAAATTATTTAATACAATACTCATTAGTCAAGTTAAGAGTGAAATGTAACTAAGAATGAAAATAGATTTTATACATGTTAAATATCTATAGTAGGTTTAGGCTTTTATGTATAAAAAATTCTCATAATATTTGAAAAATATAAATTATGAAAATATAATATATTCATACTTATTTGTTCACATTAATATATATACACATATTATATTAAAATTAAATTAATTATTATGTTTTATTTGAATTTAAATGAATAATTTCATGTCTTATTTAAAGTATTTTTAAAATTTTATTTATTTATTTATTTTATAATAATATTTATGATTTATTATTTCATAAAATAATGTTAAATGAAAATATATTTTAAATTTTTTTTTTCTGAATATTAATATTTTATTAAAGATAAATTTAGAATGCAAGACTACTTTAAATCTTTATAATTTTTTTAAAAAATTAACAATATATGTCAAGAATTATTAGTTCAATTCATAATCAAAAGGTATTGCTGCAAGCCACTTTTAAGATATATATTATAAGCATTTGATTCAAGTTTTTATCTCTTCATAGAATTATTTTTCATAAATTTGGATCGAGCCCATAAAAAGTTAGAATTGTATTTCTTCTTTCTTGTCTTATAAAATTCACTCTTAACATTTATTCTTTTGTTAATACGTGATTGGCCTAATAATCAAGTTATCAAATTTGTAAACTCTTTGTGTCATATTTTTATTAATTTTTTCTTTATTTTTATAAAAAAATTTAATGTATTCCAGATATTAAATATTAAATAGCATAGGATAAAGATAGACAAACATAAATTTAAATACTCAACATATACACCTGTAAAAAGTAAATTTATTGTTTATATTTTAATAAATTGAGTTAATAAAATATCAAATAGATAAAAACAAGTGAAAAATTCAACTAATTATATACAATCTCGCATATAATATAAATTTTTGATGATTTCAAGAATGGAGCTACAAGAATTATGTCATTTTCCTTTAGACGTAACAATTATGTTTAAGAACTAGTTAAGCACAAATATTAATAACAAGAAAATGATCATGTGAATTTTTAATCAAACTAAGTAGGTATTATATAGTAGTTATTTTAAACACTCATTTCGTGAAATATTAAATAAGACAATTTTTATAGATAACTTCATAAAACATTTGATAATACTTTCTAACAGTGTACCAATGGCCTTGAGATTTTGGATCAAAGTTGCAATATCAAAATCACTTTTGTAATCACTGCTAAAAAAGTTACTTTTGTAATTTTTCAATTAAATCATCGACAAAATACTGTTCTCTCTTTGAAAACAACATTTGCAGACCAATATTTGTTTAATTAATAAAAATGATACATTTTTAACCAAAATTTTGAGTTTATATTTTGTAGAGTATGTGTGTTCAGAGAACTTTACAGTATTAAAATTCGACCTCAATTGTAACATTATATTTTGTAGAATATGTGTTCTGATTACAAGTAAATATGTCAGTTCAATTTATAATTAATCATTATAATTTGTATCACTTGCACAAAGTATTAGTGACTACGTTACCTTAACATTACAGTTAAATGTATTAGTGACTACATTACCTTAACATTACAGTTAAATGACAGAACACACTAATTAATGTTGGACACGCCAAAATTATTTTGTTGACATGTAATTTTCTTGATTTTAAATATTTTTTTGCTACATATATTTGAGTTTTGAATGCCACTAAATAAGAATGTATTAAAATACTTGAAAAAACAATTCCCTGATTTTATATTCAAATTTTCTGTTTTTATATAATATTTAAAAACAATATATTAAAATATTATTTTAAAAAAAATTATAGAAATGTAAAATTAAAACATTACTAATGACAATTTTTAGTGCATGCAGAGAGATTTATGAATAAATAATTTAAAATTATAGAAAACTAAAATTGATGATTCTTATATCACCATTAGCATTTTTATAAAAAGAATAAATAATCATTAAGAGCAAATTTTCAAAAAATAATAAAAAAAATTAAACTCTAAAAAATTGTCCATGACAGTTTTTTAAGCTTAAAAAAATGGTTATTTTTTAAAATTATATTTTTATAATTTTCTTAAAATCTTATATATATTTTTATATTTTCATACTAAAAAAATCCTTCTATATTATTTATTTCAATGTATTATTGTGTGTGCTTTCAAATATGATGATATCACGCATGCAGATGAACTAATTTGTTAGAAAAGAAAACATAGAAATAAATAAAAAAAATATATTTAAAATAACAAATATAAATGTAAAAATTGAATCCAGTAGAATCTAAGTATAATTATTATTAATTTCAGAAAATATGAGTGTAATTTTTGTAATAAAATAAAAATAATAATAATTTTTGGATAGTGTTACGTTGACGCGCAACGAATAGCGCGGGGAATACACCTACCAATGAGGTCAGGAATCACTGCTTAACGTACATTTTTTTCCTGCAGGTGCTGCCCACAACCTATAAGGGCTACGACCCCCACCTCAAAATAATTTTTTAAAAAATTAATCAATCCATTAATTTTTTAAAAAATGTTGTTAATATTTTTTTTTCATTTTTATTAATATCTTTTTTCATCTGTCTGATCTAAAAATACACTCATTTTAAGTTTTTTTTTTATAATATTTTCATCATTGATTAATTTTTAATAATTATTTAATTTATAAATTTTAGTGTTTTCTAACGCATAAATTTAATGTATACTTTTTAAATTTAAGTGATTTAGTTGTTATTGGTTAATTAAAATTTTATCTTGATAAATTATAATAAAATTAAATATAAATATTATTAAAATAAAAATATAATTTTAATTAATAAATAATATAAATTTTTTTTTATCCTTTTTAATCGATGTTATCCGTTTGGTTATTATTTATCCACATCGTATTTTTAAAATTTTGTTAAGATGATTTTTATTAATTAAAATATATTTAAGACAGATCGAATGACGTGAGTACCACTGATATTTTTCTATTAATTGTCCAATAAATTCGTTAATAATAAAAATATTTTTAAGTAATACTCAAAGATATGTTTTAAATTTAGTTAAATACAACGTTAAAAAGAAAAGCATCCTAGAAATTAGTGAAATCAACATAATTTGTAAAATTAGATAGAAAGTGTGATTTAAATATTGCATTTTAAAATGATAAATAAATTTTCGCTTATTTTAAAATTGAGTTAATGAAATCATTTATTTTAAGAGTCATTAAATGAACTAGTTTATTTTAATTATAAATAATTTTTTTAGAACAATATATAGGTAGTGAAGTTTGTAAAATTAAATATGAGATTTGGAATATATATATATATATATATATATATATATATATATATATATATATATATATATATATGAAAGAAAATGGTGTTGGTGTTTGTTTAGTTTACAATTATACATTTTAATAAATAATAATTAAAATTTAAAAATATATTTTATAAAATATTCTTTTAAATTATATGCATGGTAAGCTGAATTAACTCTTACCCGTTATTATTCACATGTTTAGTGATGCTTTACCATCACTTGAGGAGATTGTTTTAAAAAAGTTATCGCAGAATCAATTACATGTTCTAAGCAAATAGATAAAAAATCTTATAAAACTTAATTTCTAAAAAAGAGTTTGTAAGAATAAGGCCAAAAGCTTTATTGGTGAATCTCTGTTCCATGCAATGGTGAGAGCATGAAACCTGAAAAGCCAATAATCTCTGTCATCTACACTCTCTTTCCCTTCATTTATTCTTTTATTTTAGTTTTCTCAAACAGAGGCTGATCCCACCAAATCAATCTCTGTCATCTACAATCTGTATCAGATTCCTCAAACATCGTACACATATTTTCATGGTTCTTATGATCGAGTTACAACATTCTCTACACTATCATGCACATTTCATGGAATCCTTAGAGTCAAACATAACACAAACTTAACACTAAATTTTTTAGCACCAGACATCACACATTCAATTATTTTAATTTGAGTTTGATTGAATCATTATCAATTGTTGAACTTTGCTTTCAAACTTTTATCTTTCAACTGTTTAAGTTTTAATAATCATCATTTCAAAGATTCAACTTTAAGAAATTGTTCATCTAAAATATATATTTTAATTTAATACAATATATCAATATATGAAATTAAATTAAATTCAAGAAATTGTGTTTTAAATGAAATAAAAATAAAATTTTACATTAAATGCTAGAAAATTATGTGATTTGACGAGAATACAAATCATTCTTAAAATATATTTCTTTAATTTTTAAAAATAAATAACTTATCATTAATGTTAATAAAGAGTAATTATATATTCTAAATTAAAAATACACAGAATGATAAATAATCAAAGTGAACATTTATTAATATATTCACTCATGTGAAAAACTAGATGAGTCTATTTTTAGTATAAAGGAATAAAAGTGTCCTGTTAACTCAAATCTTACAATAAATAAAGATATAAAAATAATAATTAATATTTTAAAAAATGAACATTTATTTTTTATAACCAAGATAAAAATAGTAGTAATTTCTATAAAAATATTTAAAAACAAAGATTCAAAAATACAATTTAAGGGTAAATTCAAAATAGCTTAGCATATGCTTATTCGACTAATTTTGAGAAAATAATAAATTTATAAAAATGTAAAAGAAACAATGTTTTCTTTAGAAAAGTTAATGACCAATTTGTTTGGCATTGGTTATTGAGTTCAATCTCTTTCGTTGACAAGCACAGCTGTTGATAGGGATTACGTAAAACAAAAGCAAAAACAGATGCAGATGCAGTGAATTGGATTGGATGCTTTTAAAATTTTCAAGAAAGGGGCATTAATGTCCATCAAACTTATTTTAAAACTGAAAACGACTAGTTGGTGTGATAAAACGAAACAATGACCCGAATAAATATCAATGAATAACGATGTATTTTTATTATTCATAAATATTAAGAATTATTATAAAATGGAATACAACTGAAATTCTTTGGACATTGTTTTAAAAATTTAAAATAAAGTCCTTTATTAAATTTATAGTAATGTATTTTCATAATTTTAACATACTTTAAATATTGTATTTATTTTTCAATTCTTTAATAAACTTATTTTATTTATTACACGACTCATTTTATTTCAATAATTTTGGAATTTACTAAAAAGTATTTCAATTAAAAAATTAATGATCATTTCTTATTAAATTTAGACTGATGTTATAATAAAATTAATGATCGGGGTATTGCCGTGACTTGTTTATAATTAATAATTTTTAATTTCTCAATTAATATTTCAAAAATTCTTCCTCATGTGTATATTTTTTTTTTACAAATTTTAGTATATAACAAATCATATATGAAACTGTATTATTAACATTCTTTACATAAAAAAAGTGTAAGGAGAGTACTAATATATAATTAGTTTGTTATATATTTATTTTTAAATAAAATCCAAAATTCAAATATATTGTATAGAAAAAATTTTCTACTAAAGAAACTAATTCAATTATATTTTTATAAAACTTAACACTTTTAATCTCTTTTACTATTGCAGTATAATAAAAAATTAATATGCAATAATCTCTCAATTAATCACATATTTTCCTAAAATGTCAAACTTTTAAAAGATAAAAAGCTATTTTTAAAAATTAAAATTGGATGAAATATAACAACAAAAAACATATTTGTTTAATATATTATCTCCAATAAAAAGTTGGAGGAGCAGCTGAGGGCTATCCATACCCATGCATCCACACAGAGAAAACCGAACACTTCAAACTACCACCATTTCCACGCGCCACTCTTCGCGCGTGAGCTTCCTCCCTCCCTAAAACGTGAGCGAGTCGTACAAGTTGAACTAGCTCTTCTCTTTCTGTATCGAAACGCAACAACACAAACTAACAACCACCACCATAACGCTTGTGTCGCTGAAGATTGATGACCATAAACCCTTGATTTCTCTCCCCATTCTCTCAGGTCAGTGGTTCTTTCAAATCACTCTTTCCTTTCCTCCTTTTTTTCTAATTTGTTTTCTCGATTCCTTTTCCTTGGCAGATTCGTTTTCGTTTTCCACCTTCTCCGCTTCCTCTTCCTTATCTTAACTTCTGCACCGTGATTTTCGCATAAACGCGCTTTATTATTTTTTTCTTTATTAAATTTTTTTGTTCATAAAACTGAAAAAAATAAAAAAATAACACGGAGCCTCTCTTCGATTGTTAATGTGCGCAAATGCATGTTAGAAAAACGGTTAAATCGTGATTTGTGCTCTTTGTTTTAATTCTGCTTTCCTTTTACGTTCGGTTTCTCATTTATATATCTCTTTTTGTTTTATATTGTTTCGGAATTTATTTATAATAATAATAATAATAATAATAATAAGATTTTTTTTGATTGCTGATTTCAATGGGATCTTTTCCACGAGGCAATGTGGATTTAAATTAAAATGGGTTAGATAATACAGTTTTATTAGGAATCTGATGTTGCAATTAATATTTTATGGTTGGTGTCATGTACTCTTAAGTTTTATGCTCTGTATGTTTTGCTAGTTTAATGTATTCAATTCATGAGTTACATCGTGTTATTGGTGTATTTGAACGGTGGTTCCACCCTCTCATGGTAAATCATTAGTTTGTTGCTAGTTAAATGAAAGTGAACGATCCAATAAAATTTTCAAATGTTTGATAATAGTTGTTTGTTGTTCATCTTTTTGAAAGTTGAATCGGTAACTTAAGCAAGGTAGAAGTTATGTTAATGCTTTGGATAAATACTGTCGTGTGATGCCAAAATATAGATTTTACTACAATGATTCCGTTTTTTGTCCATTTGGGAATTGAGTGAAGTAATTATTCATGACATTCATTTGCTGATTGCGATAGCCTAAACACCGTTGTAATGCTATTTTTCTCTGCTTGTCAGAGAACGGCTGTTCAATTGCAGTATTCATCGGTTGCTAATGGATTTGGAAGAGAAGTTCCCTGCTAAAGGTATGTTTTTGAGCTTCTTCTTGAGTTTGGTCTTTCAGTATTCTTAAAAGTTGCTACAATTTGTTTTCCCTTTCTGTACGTGATACTGACTGGCTGAACGCTTAGTGTGCGCTAGCAGTTTTCTAATCTAACATGGGTTTGATTTTAAATGCCTGCTGAAATTGGACTTTGGAAAGATGCGTACTGTGTGATTTGTCTAATGATGATTCTCTTATCTTATGAGTGTTTTGCTAGTTGCTACTGACAAACACACTGCTACATGTTTTACAGTATTCTAATTATACAGTTTCTTTTGCTTTCTTCCCTGATAAGGGCTAATTTTTCTGTAGTCGCAATCCACTGTATAGTTTAAATTTTGAAAGTGACTTCTTATTGGAAAGCCTTTGTTCTAGTACCATTATTATCACTTTATAGCCTCATGGTTTTTTGCCTTGTAACTTTTATGTGAGTGCTTCATCAGAATTTTTTTCCTTTTCTTGGCCCAAACATGAAATCTGTTTGGCTCATTTGATGCAGTATATTGTAAATATGAGCTTAAAATGGAGTAATAAGATGACATGAAAGCTGAATACTATGTACAATCTAGAATATTCTATTTTCTGCAGTGTGATATATCTTTGGAAAGTACTTGTGGCTATGGGCTGCAATGGATAAAAGTAATATCTAATTCCCTATTATTCTTTTTTGTTACTTGGAATTATATTTTACTAAATAAAAAAAAAAATACTGCTTGTCCTTTGTCATATGGGAGTGTTTTACTTTGTGAAACCTTTGTGATACTTTATTAAGGAAAATAATAATGACGAATTATTTGGCATAAGACATACTCATGATTTCAGTACTAACTTAGGTAAGGTTATGAGGATTGTTGATAAAACCAATCTGAGATTTTTTTAACAGGATATGTTTTTGACCTTTCCTGTTATGTTTGTTCACAATATGAATATCCATTTATTTATTTTTCCTTGAAACCGTAAGCATATTAGTTTTGGTGTACCGGTTATGTTTTGTTTTTATTGTATGAAATATGAATGCATTAATGTGTGTTTCTGTTATGGAATTGAAGTGCATAATCCTCCCAATTCAAGTATACATTGAAGAATTTGATAGTGTTATAAATGCTAATATGTGGTTGTGATTATTGAATTTAGTCCTTGCTTAGATAGCTCCTCAAAAAGTGATTCTGTTGCCCACTTTGTCTTGTTGGCTACCAACTTAATTTATTTGGGTATTAAAAGTTTGGCTGGAAGTAATTTATACACATATTACACAACTCATTCTACAGAAGATAATTCTTTCAAAGTACATTCCACTCATGTAATACTTTATTAATAGCATGTGTTTAGTAGAGTAAAAATAGTGGGATTTTATCAGAACTGCTAATGTGTGCTAGTGATATATACTACAACGTTATCTATTTCTACTACATACTGCTTTTTGTTAATCCCAGCATGACTATTATGTGCATTGAAAAGAGGTACGTCAATCAATCTACAAGCTGTCAATATATATGGTTGCTTTGATTAAGTTGGCAACTTGGCATTCCAGTCTTCCAGCAAACTTGGACATAGAATTAGGCTACTTGATCAAATTTGTCATATAAACAAGGTATTTAGTTGTATTTGAGCATAGTTTAGCCTTGCCTTGTCTTCCACCAACATGCCCACATTGTATCTGGAGATCCATTACTCCAGGAATTAGGCTTTTGCTGCTATTTGATTTAAATTTGTTGTATAACTAGGTGATAATCTGTATTTGGGCATAGTTTATCTTGTCTTCCACTAACATGCTCTCAAACCACATTAAACAACTTTTTATAGCACAAATTTCAGAGAAAATCTTCCATTGGATAATATTTTCTCATAGTTTAGTTCATGATCGTAATATTTTATATCAATTTGAAATTTATTTGTAACTGCTTGCAAGAAAATATATAAGACGAGCATAGGATATACTTTTAAAGCATGAGAAAATATAACTTTTAATTATTTACTTATTGAGGACCAATTTTTCAAATATCTGACAGGAAAGATCAAGATGATTAAGTATACTTCAATGTTTCGATTGATGTAGAATACATTCCATAAAAATATTTTGAATGGTGTACATGTATAAAGATTTGCACCAGTGTTAATTGAGATGTGCATAATAAATTAAAAATTAAAGCTTTAGCTCTTGCTCCTTTTTCCTCCATAGAGTGTAGTATATATAAAGGGTTATTCCAAACTATAGCAGCTGCACGTTGGTCTTGGATTCCCCTCCAGGAGGAGTTGCTACATTGTTGACTATGGAGATACTCCCCCAGTATCAACTCTGTCAGAATATCTCTTTTCTTTTTCTTTTTGAATGGTAGGGAGGATCTGGTGCTTATGAGGTATCAGCTTTCTCATTCTCTGCTTTTCCAGTTATATTTCCTCTATGTAGTATTTTAGGTATTTGGATTCTTTTAGAATGCCTGATGTGTTCATATTTTTTATGCTTCATGTCCTCACTGTGTATGATTAAACTATTGGCGAGAAGTTTTGATCGCTATTGTTCAGAATGTATTTTGGAGATTGTTCTATAGTTTTAACCAATTCTGGGTAGCTCGATTTTTGTTACTCCTTTTTTATGATAACTTATAATCTGATTGATTGGTCAAAATCTATGCAATTCAAATTGAGGAACTTGATTCTGGATCTTCTTCTCCTTAGGCTGCTGCTGCTTCTTGACCAAATGATAAAACAATTACCGTACAAGAAATAAAACAGCTTTATGTAACATTATTTGGACAGAATGTGCTACGGTTTTTTTCATTTTCTTGGGTTCTCCTACGAAACAATTTTTGTCTCCAGAAATAACTATTCATAGATTTTTGTTTTTATCTTATTCACACAATTTCAGTGCTTAATTTTTTTTTACATTGAGTTCGATGTGGATTGAAATCAGCATCCATTATCTCTTTTCCCTTGTTCTTGGTTTCCATCTGTTATGTACTATTTTGATAATTTATTTCCATTCTTCTATCAAATTAGGAAGGGTTATGGGGTATTCTAGTGCAGGTGCTGTAGCTACTACTGATTGATGCATACATGATGATTAGGTAGAAACAAACATAACCTGGTGAGTTTTGCTCCAGTGGTTGGATTTCCCTATTCTTAAGTCTATGTATGATGTTGTAAATGAGGCTCAAAAGTGATGAAGGAAAGTGGGTATATGTGTGCTAATAATAACACAGGTGTTAGAGTGAGAATGAGGCTATATGTGCCAAGAGTAGCAGCAAAAGTTCGAATTTGATGATAATATAAACAACTGGGGCCATGATTTTATTTGTGAAAGGAAATCAAATAGGCTCTGTTGAAGTTGATCTTTAGGGTTACATTAATATGAATGATAGAGTCAATTATGGAAAGATGAAGTTCTGTCCAAGATTGAACTACACCATCATCACCCTTCCATTCATATTTCACTGGTGGAGAAATATAATTTATTATTTGTTGCATTTAACTTTCTTTCTGGATTAAACTGCTATGTTTGTTATTTCTCTTCAATTAATGTACACTAAATAAGAGTTTAAGTTTCATTGTTGACTCTAGTTAAATTTTCCTTTCTGTTTCCTCTTCATACTTTGCTGTTGGTTGTTATTTCTGTTCAGCTTCTGGTATTCAAAGCCTTTCATCGAGTGTGCAAAGTACTCCAGAAAAAAATAGCCATTCAGATGATGCTTCAAGGAGTTCTGAACTCCTTCAGGAGTTCCTAAAATCTGGTCCAAAAAAGGAGCTTCTACGAATGTGCTTTGATAAGGACAAAAAGAACGTTTCTTCGAAAGGCAGGATGACTGAGACTAAGTCAACTGGTAAAATTGTCAAGAAACAGGACTCAAAAAAGGTTTCTGGTCTCAGCAATCAGCCTTCTAGGAAGCAACAACGCAAAGGCGAAAACCCTGTGCGGTTTGTACCAGCTCCAGATCCACCTATTGAGTTTGGACATTCAAACTCCTGGATCTGTAAAAATTCTGCATGCAGAGCAGTTCTATCTAAAGATGACACATTTTGTAAAAGGTGCTCTTGCTGTATTTGCCACCATTTTGATGATAACAAGGATCCTAGTCTTTGGTTGGTATGCACATGTGAATCTGCTCAAGGGGACTCCTGCGGGTTGTCTTGCCATATCGAGTGTGCCCTTCAACATGAAAAAGTAGGAGTTGTTGATCATGGACAACTTATGCAACTCGATGGTGGTTATTGTTGTGCATCTTGCGGCAAAGTTACTGGGATACTTGGGTGAGTAATTTTCCTCAACTGATGAGTTATAGATATTATACCCCTATTGTTGTTGTTACAGTGAGGCTTTGGGGAATCATTCTGATTTGTGTGTTTCTGCAGTGAAATATTATCATGCTGTGTATATATTGAATAAGAAAATTAAAAAAGAACCTGCACATATTTCTTGCCTTTCCTGTCCATCATTCACTTACTTGACATGCATGCCACAATGAAGCAGACTTTCAACTACTACAGTTTTTTGCAATTCTTGATGTGTCTTTTCCAGGTTTCCTAGAAGAATGAGTTTCATTATGGTCAATATCAGTTCTTTTAATTTGATTGAGAACATTTAAAACACTTGCAACTTGTGTGTTGTTGACTAAATTTTTAACCCTATGTTGATGGCATTTGTGGTTCACGTTTAATACTGGCAGATGTTGGAAGAAGCAACTAAATATAGCAAAAGATGCTCGGCGTGTAGATGTACTGTGCTACAGGATATATTTGAGCTACAGGCTTCTGGATGGGACTTCAAGATTTAAAGAATTGCATGAAATGGTAAAAGAGGCAAAGGCTAAACTGGAAAAGGAAGTTGGTCCCGTTAATGGGGTTTCTGCCAAGATGGCACGGGGCATTGTCAGCAGACTCCCCATTGCCAGTGATGTACAGAAACTCTGCTCTCTTGCTATTGAGAATGCTAATAAGTGGTTGGCCACTGTTCCTGATGTAAATCCAGAATCCAGAGGTTGGAACTACTACTACTTTTTTAATATATGTAAATTCTTTTTGCTTGCCAAGCAATGATTTGTGTGGTATGTGATATGATGAATTTCTTTAACTCACAGAGGGTTCCCTTCCCGCTGCCTGCAAGTTTGTTTTTGAAGAGATAACGGCTTCCTCAGTCAAAATCATTTTAATTGAAATGTCAAATGCATCTTCTGAGGACATTAAGGGATACAAGCTCTGGTATTACAAGAGTAGGGAGGAATCACACACAAAAGAACCTGTTTGTGTGTTTCCCAAATCTCAGAGGAGGATTTTTATCTCCAATCTCCAGCCTTGCACAGAATATACTTTTCGGATTGTATCTTTTGCAGATATGGGTGACCTGGGTCATTCTGAGGCCAAGTGTTTCACCAAAAGTGTTGAGATATTGGAGAAAAATTCGTCTACATCAGTTGCCATGAATCATAAAAAGGAGAATCTTCAAAATGGAGGCAGCTCTTCTGACTCAAAAATGGAGCCCAATCCCTCAATGGCAGACTCTGGATTTAAGGTTCGAGACCTTGGAAAAATTTTGCATCTTACATGGGCTCAAGAACAAGGTTGCTTGGAGGGGTTCTGCTGTGCTGATATGAGAAATTGCTGTGGGCAAAGTGAAATGATCAAGCCCAGCAATCCACAGGAGCAGCTGCCTTCAGTTTCACGGGGCCTTGATCTAAATGTTGTTTCAGTGCCTGATTTAAATGAAGAACTTACACCTCCTTTTGAGTCTTCCAGGGATGAAGATAATGGTTGCACTTTGCAGCAGGCTGTTGAGGCAGATGATGATGCTGCTTCTCATGATCTAGAGAAAAATTTAGCAAGACCACATGGTAGCGGTGATTCCCAAACTTGGAACCATGGGCCAACTGGAGAAGTGCCAGCTGTTGACTCTCGTGTAGATGCTGGTAGGAAAAGGATAACAAGCACAAATGAAGAGACCCATGATTGTGACAGTACTTTGATAAATGAATCTCCTATACACGCATCTGAAGGTTCGTTCTCCTTAGATGAAAACTTTGAGTATTGTGTGAAAGTAATTCGTTGGCTAGAATGCCAGGGTCATATCAAACAGGAGTTTAGGTTGAAATTGCTGACATGGTTTAGTTTGAGATCAACAGAGCAAGAACGTAGGGTGGTTAATACTTTCATTCAAACCCTGATTGATGATCCAAGTAGTTTGGCAGGGCAACTAGTTGATTCCTTTTCTGATATTATATCCAACAAGAGGCGAAGAAATGGATTCTGCAATAAGGCTGTTGCATCAAGTTAAGGGTGTGGAATCCTGTTAGTTGAGATCGCTAATTGCTTCAAGACTCCCACCAATTCAAAACGACAAATCACCCCAATTGTTTCTGCCTCGTTGTACAGGCATTTTTTATTACTCACCGTGATTCATTTTATTGGGACAAGTTTTGTCCTGCTAAAAGGATTTGCATTGATGATTGCTGAGACAGTAACTCATTTTTCCTCGAGGGGAAAAAGGATCATTGGATATGAAGTCTCAGGATGTAGAAGGCAATTGGCTATTTACTAAATTACTGCAATTATTTTTCAATTATGAAATTAGTCACGATAGATACTATTGTTGAACTTTCATCTCATTACTTCCATTTGACAAGCAACATGATGTATGGCTGATTTTATTCATCCTTTGTCATTCTTTTGTTATCTTTGGTGTTGTCACCCACTTCTCTCTAGTGTGCAGGCAGAAAGCTCTGCTTCACCCATTGTGGAAAGAGTAAGGCTGCTTCTACTTCTACTATGGTTATCTTGATGTGGGTCTGTACCATGTAACCCAACTGTAACTTAAGTTGCTGGCACATAGAAAACGTTGTAGTTGTGTGGGGCTCGGAAGCCATGTTAAAACTAAGGAAATGATTATACAGTTGCAGCTACTTTTTAATTGAATTTACTTATAAAGCTAAAAGGGGAATGAATGAAGTTAATTTTTACCTCTTCGTCTAGTGCCATACTAACAGATTTCAAATTTAAATGCGAGTTAAAATATGTAGTTCACCGAGATAATTATAATATAAAACTAGAATTTGGGCTATTTTTTTTCAGGAAAGAAAAATTCATGAGTAATGAGATTTAGTTAACGAGGATTGATGAAAGAACTTTTATAATAGTTAACTAACTTATTCAATTTTTCTTTTTAAAAAAGAGTCATAAAAATCGTACACTATATAGAGATTGCCTAATAAACTTCTCTCGAAATTAATTTTACTCTATTTAGGTCTAGAAAGTTAAACTAAGTATACTTATTTAATCAGATCTGAGTTATATCTTAAATTGATCCAACCGGTGTAATACAACAAATATTTAAAGATTTCTTTTTACAAAAATTAAGAGTAATTTATAAAATAACTTAAATAATATTTTATGAATAACATAATATTTTTTTTTTGCTAATAACATAATGATTTTTATAGTATTATATTTTTAAAAATTATATGATAAAAATATCTAATTTTAAATTTTATTTATACAATTGAGATTTAGATACTCTGTTTCAGAAATCTAGTCGACCCTCTCGACCTAGTAACACAATATACATTTAAATTTCTATGCAATATATATATTAAAGAATTTCTATTGTTTTTTTTTTTTTTTGTCAAGAAAGAATTTCTATTTGGTTTTCATTTTTGGGTTAGTTTGCGACGGAACAATATGCTTTCAGGTTGGTCTGCCAATCCACATACCACATCCAACTTATGTTGGTCCGTGGGTTGGCGGATTCACTTATATTTTCATTAATTTTAGTAAGAAAATTTCATTTATCATCAGGAGTAGATATTTTCGAATATTTTTTTATATTTCAAACATATTTTTTTTAATATTTGCATATAAAAAATAAAAATAGTAATATATAATACCACGTACATATTAATTTGAATATACATGGATTGCGGATTATATGAGCATTGAAAAAAGAATTCATTATTTTATAAAAATTATTTTGGCTGAGAAAACGAATTGAAATTGTAAAATAATAATAATAATAATAATAATAATAACTATAAAGTAGCAACTGAAAGATGAGGCTCACAAACTGTCACTGATCTCAGCCTCTCTTTCTCTGAGACACAGAGACAATGCAAATTCTTCATGCTCCATCTTCACCACACCTTTCTATCCATAGCTCTAAAGCACCACACTTCAAATTGGGTATGGCACTCATTCTCTACATCTACATACTCCACCCTTTCATTTCACTTCCTCATCACAATTCTTCCTCTCTTTTTTTTGCTTGTTCTTGCAGGTTCAATTTCTTGTGTGACTGTAAGGTCTTCTCCTTTGTTTGTTGTTCACTTTTCTCTTCAGTCTCAAAGGGACCAACGTTTATCATGGACCCTCCATAAAAGGGTCATCTTCAGTTCTAGTGCTGCCAGAGCTGCTTCGGTTGAAGGTAAATTTGATTCCTTTTCTGTGCATGAAACATGCTTCATTCTAGTCATTGACCTCAAGTGTATGTAAAAGTTTTGGAATTTGCTTTAAGTTTTGCAAACGAGGTTATGGGCATTATGAATATCATTGTGGCTGCATGTTTAGTTAATGGAACTGTTTTAGAGAGAGTAAAAAAATTCAATTTCCTAGTTTCTGGGATTTTGGGATATGTGTAAATCCAATGCTTGATCAACCTTTAGCTCACAAAAGTTTGGTTAACTTGTCATCATATCCTAGCAGGATTGATATGATAAATGAGCAGAACTTCTTCCATTTTTGGTTTGAATGGATGACTATAGATTCGCATAGTTGTTTTTTAGCAATAAACCTATTCTTAGTATTTTTTTTAGCAATAAATGAGCAGAGCTATAGTATTGTTGTTAAACACGATTATGAATCCATGTCAATGTTAATATGTCATGTTGTGGATTTTATTTTGTTTGTGAAATGGATATTTACACTGTTCTTAGAAGTTGGGGGTTAGGTTAGGAGTTCAATGTATATGCCTCTTTCAGTGGAAGATTTGGCTGGTGAGGCAATCTATACCTCATAAAATAATGATGAATGAATAAATAAAATCAAATGTTTATGAAAATCCATCCTAAATTGTCTTTCCAGGAATTCTTGATATATTGGTTGACACTTGACAAGGACTTTTGTGTGTGTAAATAAGCTTTTCAATTTTCATATCTTTCATTTGGATAAATTTCAAAAAATTATGGCTGTGATCTGGGACATGGATTAAACGTTTTCAATTGAATTTCAGAAGAATTCTTTTCATGGACTGCTCCAGCAGTTTATGCTCACATGCATGCAGCAAGTGCTTTAGTCTTTTGAATGCTTAGAAGGTTGAAACAAGTGGGATTGCATATCAAATGAAGATTTTTAGAGATGTGTGTTGCAATTGTCAGTAGGATAGAATTGTAAAGAATATACATTCAATAAGTTTTTCCCAGCCTACTCATGTATTTGGCTACAAATGATGGCTAATGAGCCTTAAGTTGTTCAGCCACCAGATGACCGAGAAATTATCTATTAATGGAATACTTGTAGTTGCTTCTTGCCTTAATTTTGTGGATTTTCATATATGCAGTTGGTGATTCTTCAGTATCAACTGGAACAGCTGAGGATGATGTGTTGAAAGCTTTGTCTCAGATTATTGATCCAGACTTTGGAACTGATATTGTTACATGTGGATTTGTGAAGGATCTGCAGATTGATGAAGCTCAAGGAGAGGTCTTAAAAGAACAGGCCTAAAACTTTTTGCAACACACATATAAATGATAATGTTCTTACCCAAAGTTTTTTTCTTTAAATCTCAGGTATCGTTTCGGTTAGAGCTCACTACACCAGCATGTCCAATCAAGGACGTGGTAAATGACACAATTGCCATTGTTTGAGCTATAGCTGATGTAGGTTAGAGTGGTAGACTTTTCATTCTGTAAATACATTACATAAATAAATTATTGCATCCATTTTCCATTCTAAAGAAAGAAATGTTTATTACTTGATTGTGTCCTGTTTTCCCATCCTTAAATCTGATGTTTGAGTGTGAATGAATCTATATGCATGACAGTTTGAGCAGAAGGCAAATGAAGTGGTGGCAATGCTCCCTTGGGTCAAGAATGTAAAAGTCACAATGTCTGCACAGCCAGCAAGACCTATATATGCTGAGCAACTTCCAGCAGGTCTACAGACAATTTCAAATATTGTGGCTGTGTCCAGTTGCAAGGTTGATTTTTTTGAGAGATTTTTCTTCATCATATGCTGGTCTTGTTATATTAAGTTATTTTCCTTAATTTTTTTTATTTTGGGGGTGGGTGGGTGGGTGGGTTTCTTGCAATAACTTTTCCTCAAATTTGTCCCTTAGTACTGTTGATTAGAGACTTTGTGGTATCTAAATGAGTTAAATAAAACCTTTATTTTTCAACTATGGGTTGAAGTTAAAATTTTTTCTTGGTCAGAATTATGAGCCAATCTATTTACCGTGATTTGCATTTCATGTCATGAGTGCCTTTTATGTCAAACTTTGCAGGGGGGTGTGGGAAAATCAACTGTAGCAGTAAACCTTGCTTACACATTGGCTGACATGGGTGCTAGAGTTGGTATATTTGATGCTGATGTTTATGGTCCAAGCTTACCTACTATGGTCTCTCCTGAAAATCGACTGTTAGTAATGGTAACATATAATAAACCAATTGATTTATAATATTTAGTTGATTGAAGTGCTGCAAACACAATTGTTGAGGGTCTTGCTGCAGAATGCAGAGAAGAGGACCATAATTCCAACTGAATTCTTGGGAGTGAAGTTGGTATCTTTTGGATTTGCTGGACAAGGACGTGCAATAATGCGTGGCCCCATGGTTTCTGGAGTCATTAATCAACTTCTGACAACTACTGAGTGGTACACATTTCTGAAAAGCATTAAAAAGAGTTACTAAGCAGGGAATGGGGAAAAAACTACTTGCTATATTGGCTTAATAAACCATGTCTTTTTATGGATTTTACATTGTATTTATTGTATAATTCCAATATTATTATATTATTCAAGTTCATTGGTGCACCCTATATTTAATTTTTGACCGAGTTCAATAGCGTTGTATAATCTATATAGCCGATCTTACCTAGTGAGATAAGGCTTGGTTGTTGTTGTATTGGTCCACCCCATAGTATGTATTGGAGTTAAATAAACTATGCTCATATAGTAATCTTCACTATTAGTCCTCTCCAAAAATTTAGATTGATTATAAATGGGTGCTTGATACATGGTCTTGATTTGTTCTACACAATGTAGGGGCGAGCTGGATTACCTCATTATTGACATGCCTCCTGGAACTGGAGATATACAGCTCACTTTATGCCAGGTTCTGGACTTGTGGACTCATATTGTACCATTTCATGCTTGTTATTCCTTTAGCTTGTTTCACATCACATTTATATTGCACTAACAGTTAGATGAATTTGTGCCAGCCTGATCACCTTTGGGCTGAAGTCTGGCTCAGTTGTCAATTCTCATTCACTTTGACTTTGGTTATATATTTCTTTAGATAGTCCCATTAACTGCTGCTGTAATTGTTACCACTCCTCAAAAGCTGTCGTTCATTGATGTTGCGAAAGGAGTTCGGATGTTTTCAAAACTTAAGGTGCTTTTTTACAGTTTGAAGACATAATAATTCCATTTTGTTGTTTTTATATCATACTTGTTACCATATTAAACTTTTTTATCCTTCAGTTTTATATATATATATATATAATCAGTTTGCCAAAGTATTTGTTTGTCATAATTTGAATCATGCATATTTGGTACTATTTAGTTTTGATGCTTATGTGTATTTTTTGTCTGTTGATGTATAAGGTGCCTTGTGTTGCTGTTGTGGAGAACATGTGTCATTTTGATGCTGATGGAAAACGATATTACCCATTTGGTAGAGGTTCAGGTTCTCAGGCACGGATAACATCTCTGATTGTTAACTT